GGGAGGAGGTGGGAACAGAGGGAGGGGTCTAACCTCAGACTATCTTGGAAGCAGGAGGCCCGAGAGTGGGTTTTGTGTTTTGAAGAAAACTGCTGAAAACAGCCTGTGCCTGCAGATTTTGACTGATCAGGACATCAGGTCTGTGGAGAGACTGGAATGTTGCAGGTCCAGAGGCTAACAACCTTATCTGGAGCTACTTCTAGCCCTAGTCTTTGGACTAATAGATTAAAAACCTTTAGAATCTATTATCTTACAGACCACTAGCTTCCACAAATCCAAAGGCTAAGAATGCCATCCTGTAGCTAGTAGCTCAGGCCTATAGAAAAGCTTCCCCCATCTCAATGAACCTGCCTCTTTGGTATAGCCACCACAGTATGTTAAACTTGCCTTGAGCTATGACTTTCTTTGTTCTGAAAAACTACGAAAATTTCACGAAACTGCTTCCACACTGGAAGATGCAATAGGGTAAAATTAATCTATGTTCTGGGCTATGGTCACTCAAAACAGCTCAAGAATAAACTATCTCTTACGCCCTATAAAAGACATAACCCAGAGCTTGCTGTGTTCCAGGTAAAATTGGACCATTGAATGCACTCCACAGGGTCTTATCACATTGCTCAGAATGCCTTGGATTCCCTGTAGCTCAGGCTGGCCCTGAACATTTAGTGTTCACGAAGAGGCTTCCTGGGTAGATAGAATTACAGAGCCAGGGGGTTTCTATGAGCAGAGTGTAGGGGTGCACACCTATAATCCCAGTATTTGGGAGGTAGAGGCAGGAGAGTTAGGAGTTCAAGGCCAGTTTAGGACACATGAAAACAAAAACAACAAAAGACAAACAAACATAAAAGAAACAGAGGCCCAGCGAGAGGCTTCATTGGGTGAAGGTGCCTGTGCCAAGCTTGACTTTGAACCCCAGGATCTACATGTTGAAAGGAGAGAAATGGCTCCCTCCAACTGTCCTCTGATTGGGGTCCAGGGGATTACCCATGTACATTTGCTTGTGCATGTACACACACACACACACACAATTACTTTTTTAAAGATGCTTTAAAATGCAGTTTCTGGGAGCCTTTCCTGGGCACAGACTTCCCTTTGGATCCATGCCACACCTTAACGGAGCTTGATGGGAAAGCGAAGAGCAGCAAAGCCTGATGGGAGATCACACACTGGTGGTACCAGTGACAGACTGGCTAGCTGGGCCCGAGGCTGGGAGGCCAAAGTGTGGGTAGTGGAGGAAGGGGCAGGGAACCAGCATTTCCTCAAGGGGTGGGGCTGCCACTCCACAGGTAGAAACAAGCTTCCTGGGTCACGAGGTTCTAGTCTGAGCCTCAAATCATCCAGCCTCCCCTGGATAACTCAAAGAGGGTTAGCCTTCATGGAAAATATGCCCGTGGCCATAACCAAACACCACAGAGTTGCCAAATTAATACGGTCTTTCTCCATCTCTGAAAGCAGTGGCCATATTTTAAGGAAATTGCTAAAGAGACTTCCATCACTCACAGTTCCAACAGTTAACAGCACTCAGTGCATACCAGGCACTGTTCCGAGAACTTTTTAACCTAACTCCAACAGTCCATAGGGACCAGCACTTGCCAGCAGAATATGCTGAACAGGCATAGGTAGGAGCCTGACAACCTGAATTTGATCTCTGAGACCAACACAGTCGAGGAAGAGAACCTACTCCCCCAAGTCGGCTTCAGGACTCCACAGTAGTGCTGTGGCATGTCCACGATGCCCCGCAACAAACAAATGCAATAAAAAATAATTAAGCCCCATAAAGTAGGTACTGCAGTAAGCGCCACTGTCAGGAGGAGGAGAATGAGGCTTTGAGTGGCTAATTTAACTTCCTCAAAGTCACAGTGCCAAGGGTGGGCCCAGACAGCTGGTCTTGCAGTCCAGGCAAGAACCATTCTCTGAGGACTGGAGAGGGGGCTCAGTGGTTAAGAACACTGGCTGCACTCGCTCACAACCATCTGTAACTTCACTTCTAGGGAATCAGATGCCCTCTTCTGGCATCCAAGAGTAGTGCATGCAAATACTGCGCATACCATATTTAAAGGCCAACATTCTTACATATAAAACTATTTTTTTGTTATTGTTGTTTTTTTGAGGCAGGGTTTCTCTGTGGCTTTGAAGCCTGTTCTGGAACCAGCTCTTGTAGACCAGGCTGGCCTCGAACTCACAGAGATCCACCTGCCTTTGCCTCCTGAGTGCTGGAATTAAAAGCGTGCGCCACCACCGCCCGGCCAAAAAATAATGTATCAGTGTGCTAAACCATTCGGATGGCATGCCTGCAGCCTGGGAACACACTGTGAACACACCTGGCACTCTGTCCCCCAGGAGATTTCAAATTCCAGAATGTCAATAAGAAAGCGGCACCGTTACATGGTAATAGTATGAAGGGATAGGCCCTGCACACTGTGATCTTCAGCAAGTATCACAGAGGCGAGGCAGACCTGGTCCAGCTGGCTAGGAGCTGCCAATCTGGAAATGGGGGTGCAGGCGGCACAGTGGGTGACCAGAGGACCGCCATATACTGTGGAAAGGGATTATAGAACAAGACCAGAGGCCCTGTGGAGAGAGGGGGCTGCTCATCGCTGATGCAATCCATTGGCCACCACTGTCAAGACAGGAGGGTGACACGGGAAGCAGAGCGGACAGGACACCAAGGCAAAGGAATCAGTTAACACGGGGTACAGGCTGCAGGGATGGGAGCAGAAACGCAAGGGAGGGCCCCAGGAGGGGCATACATGACTGCACCAAATAACAAGGGGTCCCCAAAGCCAGCCCAGGGAAGCGGGGCTTTGTATTGGGAGTGCTGGGGAGCCACAGAACACTGAGGAGGGCAAGACAAGGCCAGTCCTGCATGTAGGACGTCCCCAAGGCTGGATGAGAAAGGGCTGATGGGGAGAACCCAAGATAATAAAATGATAATAATAGTTTTAAAAATAAAACAGAAAAAGGACTGGAGCTATAGCTCTGTGGTAAGCATTCGCCTGGCCTAGCATTTGGAAGGTCCTGGATTTGATTCCCCATACACACACACACACACACACACACACACACACACACACACACACCAAACAAATAAATGGTGGTTGAACTGGGTCCCAGGAACCCATGTATGTCTCAGTAAGTCTGGAAACCACCTCTGCCATGCGCTGTTAGAAGTATCCTCAAGCCATCCTGTGCTCTCCCTAGCATACAGGCTGAGAGCCAGACTCGCCTGGACCTCTGCCTCTTGCAGCTTATCCAGCTGGGGGAATCTGGCAGGTAGCAAGGCCTCCACAGGCCTCGGTTTGCTCATCCGCTCTCTGGGGCTGAGTACAGAAGATGTGCGCTGGATTACAGTCTCTGTGCAGGACTTGTTTCTGCTGGTGCTTTGTACCCACTTTGATGTCTGCTGTTCGGGTCACGGCCATTTCACATGTGTGGCCTGGAACCTCCCGTTATCACCCACAGTGGGGTGTGGGGATGGCAGTATTAATGCCAGTGTTGTAGCCAGTTTTCACCTACTTCGGAGGTCTCTTGGGTACGTGGTCCCCATGCTAGGAGTGTAGGAGATTTGAAGGACACGGAGGGAGACTTCCCAGGGTGATGGGGACAGACTTGCACTGCCACTGTCCTTTTCAGTTCCGCTGGACCAATCACTGAGAGGGCCTGGCTTGGGGTCCAGTCTGATTCAGTGCTGCCTATAAACCAGTCTTTCTGGGGAGACGCCGGGAGGGGCCTCAGGGGTCCAGCCCTCAAACTCTCATGCACAAGCAAACACCAGACTCTCTCCACTGTCTCAGTCAAGCTAGCTTCTCCAGCAAACACAAGTCTCCTTCCCTTTCTAGCAAAAGAGTTTGCTCAAGCAGCCTGTGGTTATGTGTGTGAGGCAGTTCCTGAGTCCCACGGAACCAGATGGCTCTCCATGTGGGGTACTTGCAGTCTGGAAAGGGACAAACGACTGAATCAGGCCCTACATAGAAGCCTCTATTCTGCTTCTCCCTTGTTAAGTGACTTTGTGCCTCAGTTTCCCCGTGTGTTCAACAGGGACTATGACCCTCCAGCCCACAGTTACCAAGGGACTGAGGAAGAGGGCAGCAGGGTCGTGACCCCAGAGGGATCTGACTGTCAGAAACTCACAGCCCTTGATCTTTGCTCCAGGTATGACTGACTGGGTCAAAGGGCAATAGAATCTGAGAAGGATCTCCCATGCAGGGTACGCTCCTGATCCTGGAAGCTCATAGCTGCGGTCTCAAGGTGCTGGGACAGAGCCGGGGTGGGGAAAGTCACCTTCACAGCGAAGTCGATGACCCTCTTGACAGCCACGAGCGCGCGCAGCTCCGCCATCTTCCTGTAGCAGTCACTGGCCGGGTCGGGTTGCGACTAATCTGGACCTCAGGTCACTCCGCCCTGTATCTGTCTCTGCGCCTGCGCGCCGCACCACCAACCAATCAACCGCCGCACAGCTCAGAGGAAGCCAATGGGGAACGGAACTCAGGGAGTGAGGCGGGATCCAGGGCGGACCGATGGGTGGAGGGGGCGTGGCGCGGAAGTAGGGGAAAGGGCATTCCTAGGAGTGAAATTTTCCGGGAGACTGTTCATCCTACCCCCGCCCCCGTACTTCTGTTGTCCTCAGCTCTGCAGTTTACATACAGGCTCCCTCTGTCTCCTGTCTGTGCCCACGCGCACCCTGTGCCTTTCCCCCCCACGCCCGAGGGCCTCTTGCTTGTCTCCACGTTCTTGCTGCAGGTTCCCTCCATATCTATGCATCTACACTTTCCTTCCCTGCGACTCCCCGGTCCGCTCGCCCCCAGACCTCACGTCCCCTACGACTCCCCGGTGTCGGCTAATCCCCATATCCTCTCCCTGCGTCCGCGTCTCCTGCGACCCCCACCCCGGGTCCACTTCTTGTCCCAGTGCCGATCTCCCCTCCCACCGGCCCACAAGCCTCCGTATCCGTGTCCCCGCCTTTCTACGACCCGCAGAAAAGCACGCAGAAAAACCGGCGCTAAAAGCCATTCCTTTATTCTGCCCCAGTCAGGCCGCATTCACAGGCACACTGGGAACCCGCTGATGGCTTCGGTGCTCTGCATGATCATGTCCGCCAGCAGAAAGCAGAAGCCTGGCAGGAGGGGGGTGCAGAGCCGGTGGGCCCTGGGGCGGATGACAAGGCCTGCCTGAGGACTAGGGATGGGGTCTCCAAGGGTGTCTCAACCGGGTGTGTTGGAGTCTGCAGTGCAGGTGTTGGGGAGTCCCTGGAAGTCATGTGGGCTTTTCTGGGAGAACAGGTGACTGGGAAGTTTCTGGGGCGGGCAGTCCTCTAGAGGGGTAATCTCCACCCTTTTCCCTGTTCTGGTTACCCGCAAGAAATGAGAAGGGTAAAGCCAGCCATCCGAAAAAGTAGGACCAGGAGAAGAAGACTTCTTTCTTCCAGGCATTCTTTGCAGTGTATCCGGCCAAAGCAATCATCAGCAGCAGCCCTAAGTCACACCCACCGGTCAGGTAGGCGTGGCAACACCCAAGCCCACCCTATTGCCTAGACCACGCCCTTCAGAAAAGCCTCTGGCCGGTCCAAAGGTAACCCAGCTACCCTTTGGCTCCGCTTTTGTGAACTTCCCCACCCCACCCCTGTTTTCTTTTTTCTATTTTTTTAAAATATTCTTCCCTTGTACAATACATCCCGACCAGTTTTCTCTCCCTCCACTTCTCCCAGCTTCTCTATGTCTCCCCCTCCCCAAGATCCACTTCCTCCCCTCTGTTTCATCTTCAGAAATGAGCAGACCTCCCAGAGATCACAGCCAAATGGACAAAACAGGAAACAAAAGAACAAGGCAAAAGCCTTCATATCCAGGCTGGACAAGACAACCCCGTGGGAAGACAAGAGTCCTAAGAGCAGGCAGGAGAGCCAGAGATACACCCACTCCCACTGTTAGGAGTCTGTCATTCCTGTACTGGACTTCACTTCTGCCTTCAGCCACGCCCCTTCATTTCTAACCACGTCAGTCAACCTCTCTTGGCCCACTGCCTTCAGGACCGCCATCACCACCACCCACTCTGCCCCATGGAGGTGGCTGTCTTCTCACCACTGAGAAAAAGTAAGACAATGGTATTCTGGCTACGCAGTGACTCGCCCTCTTGGTACCAAATCCTCATCCCCATCCCCAAAGATATGATACTGAAGGTCGCTGCCAACACCATGCATGCTGAGGTCATCGCCAGGGTGTCTGGAGAGACAGGGTAGCGTCAGTCGGCACCCTGCCACCATGAGAGAGCAATCTTGATCTCTCCTGGTCACCCTCGCCCCACCACACACACACCGTGAGCATCTAGAGGGGACTGAAGAGGACATGTTGGAGGAGGGCAGCAGACAGGCCTGGGGAGAAAGAGCTTTGGTGGTAGAGGACAGCTGATCTGAGCCTGGGGTGGCAGGGCACAGCTGGAGCTGGGGTTAGGGTGGGCTCTGGAATGTGGTCTGATATGGGGGCAGGTAAGGGTCTCACTCTGGCAGGGAATGTTGGAGCAGACGCCGTGGGCACACTCCTGCCACAGGCCACTGTGGCCCCCAGGATGTCGGATCCAGTAGTTGGTAGCCGTGGACAGTACTGTGAGGACGCTGGTCAAGAGATTAAGCAAACTGCCTCCAGTCTGAAGGCTCCTCTTCACCCCCATGCCAGGGAAGCAGCTGCCAAGGACATCGACGTAGGACTGGCTCGCACCCCTGACTGAGGGAAGGCTCTTCCACTTCAGAAGGCCTCCCCTCCAGGCCCCCTGCGTGATGACCTCAAGATCCCCAACACTAGTCACATGGTAGCTCAAACCTGTAATCCTAGCGCCAAGGAGGCTGAGGCAAGAGATTGAAAGTCCAAGATAGTCCTGGACCATATAATGAGTTCTGGGCTAGGTGGACTACAGTATGAGACCCTGTCTCAATTAAAACCACAAAGCAAACAGGAGCTAGAAATGTAGTTCTGTGGTACAGTGCTTGCTTGGCATACACAAGACCCTAGCTTCCATTCCCTAGTAAGGTATAAGCCAAGCATAGCACACCTGTCATCCCAGCACTTAGGGGATAGGGGCAGGAGGATCAGTCAGAAGTGCAAGGTAATTTTTCACTATTTCGTGGATTTAAAGCCAGCCTGGGCTATGTGAGACTATCTCAAACAAAACAAAAAGATTCCTTCCCAGTCTCCCATCGCCCCATGCTCTTGGCCCCTTCCTCAACCACCTTCCCTAAGAACTTATGACTTCCTCTAAGAAACTCAGTTTTCTACCGCCTAGTGGACTCTAAGACATCTTCACTGGAAGACACCCTCTCCCCACCCACCGCCATCTTTACTTCAGGCCTCATGGCTCAGTGACTATCTTCCAGAGACTTCCTACATCAGTTCAATACCCTATACATCCCCCATTGACTCAGTGCCCTCCCCATCCCTACCCCTACACATATACACCCCAGAAAATGACTCACAGCCTGGTCCCCTGGGACAGACAGTGATAGGGTGGGAGGGGCAGAGGATGGGTCTCTGTGAGGCAGCAGAGATTCCAGAATCCTCTCCTAGTAGCCATTTAAAGGGATACCCTCCCCCAGAAGCATATTCATTTTCTGTATCTGTCCTTCTGGAATATTTGTTTGTTTGTTTGTTTGTTTGTTTCTGAGACAGGGTCTTACCATGCAGTTCTGACTGTCTTGGAACTCACGATGGTGATCATTCTGACCTCAAACTCAGAGAACAGCCTGCCTCTGCCTCCCAAGTGCTCGAATCAAAGGCGTGCACCACTGTATCCAGCAGGATTGTTGTTTGAGACAGCGTCTCTTAACTCTATAGCCCATGGTGTTTTAAACCATCTGAGCAGCCCAGATGTGACCTTGAACTTCTGATTCTTCTGTCTCTACCTCCCTGGTGCTGGGGTTACAGGCTTGAACTGCCATTCCTCCTGTTCTGCTCTGCTCTGCTCTGCTCTGCTCTGCTCTGTTCTGATCTGTCCTGTCCTGTCCTGTCCTGTCCTGTCCTGTCCTGTCCTGTCCTGTCCTGTCCTGTCCTGTCCTGTTTTGAGGCAGAGTCTAACTATGCACTTCTTAGCTGTCCTAGAACTCACCATATATGCCAGGCTTACCTCAAACTTGGAGCAGTCCTCCAACCTCAGGCTCCAAGTGCATGGAGGGTACCACCAAACCCAACTTCCAGCAGTTTCTCTTTTAAAAAATATTTTTTTTGGTTTTTACAGACAAGATTTCTCTGTATTGTTTTGGAGGCTGCCCTGGAACCTGCTCTGTAGACCAGGCTGGCCTCGAACTCACAGAGATCCACCTGCCTCTGCCTCCCGAGTGCTGGGATTAAAGGTGTGTGCCACCACTGCCCGGCTAAAAAATGATTTTTAAGAAGTAAATTGCTGTTTTTGATCATGTGTATGCATGTTTCTATGTGTGGGTTATGAGCATGTGAGTGCAGAGGCACTGGCTCCCTTAGAGGTTCCTTTGGCTCTGAGCCACCCTGATTTGGGTCCAGGGAACTGAACTCAGCTTCTGAGCCTAGCTCCAGGGACTCTCTTAACAGAATGACAGCTCAGAAAGCAAGCCTGGGAGCCAGGTGTGGTTGCTCCTGTCTGCAGTCCTAGCACTTAGGAGGATGAAGCAGGAAGACTACCTTCAGTTCTGAGGCTAGCTTGGTCTACATGTGAGTTTCAGGCCAGCTAATCTCCTGCCTCAAAAAGAAAAGGAAGGAGGCTGGAGGAAGGGCAGGTGATCCAGGAAAGAAGAAAGGGAGAGAGAATGAAAGGAGGGAAAATGAGAAGGAAGGAGCTTCAAAGCTACAACTATTGCATGGCTGATGTTGTTCTAAAAGCTTCTCTTCTTTCAATTGTCATGGTACCCCATAAGCTCTCCTGGGCCCCATGCAGGCAAGGCTCCACCCTCTTCTCTTCTCCCCTAGTAAATGCTGATCTCCGGGTGCCATCATGAGTAGTTCTCCAGGAGAGCCTTCCTCTCCCCAAGGATAGCAACCCTGATGATCTGAGAGAGCAGCCAAAACGCCACTTCTGCCCCTGCCCCTCCTCTATGGCTACTCAGCCGCATTGCCACCAAGATCATGGGCACAGAATCACACTTGACAGGGAACCAAACTTGTTACAGCTCTGCTGTCTCACCCACTTTGTCAGACCGGAGCCTTAGGTGCTTTCCTTGCTTGTGGTGTGCCTTTGACCCCAACCTCTGTCCCATCCTACCTGCTTTCCAACCTTCCAGTGTCACCCCCAGGTCACTGGAGGGAGACCTATCTCTCTCTATCACACACCCACACATTTGGAACAGCTTCTCCCCTGTTCACAGTTATTGCCAAATTTGTCACCATTCTAAGGAAAAAGCTAGCTGTGGCAATAGAGGCCCTGGTTCCCATCTGCTTCTCTGTCATAATTTCCCACTGCCACCACCATAGTCTACACTCTAAACACAAGTCACCACCTTTCACACCCCTCCCATGTCTCCATCTTTGGTCACCTCTGCCTGGATAGCATAATTCCTGTGCTAATGAATATTTGTAATCCTAATACTTCAGAGGCTGAAGCAGGAGGATGGCTGTGAATTCAAGGACTGCCTGGGTAGTTAGTGAGACCTGGTCTCAAGAGGTTTGAGAGAGCTGGGGATGTAGCTTGATGGTTGAAGACTTGGCTTAGCTTGAAGGAGGCCCTGTGTTCCATCCTCTATGTTAAACCAAAAGAACAGTTGCTAAATGTCATCTCTGGTTAAACACAGAAAAGAAAAGAAGACAAGCTTGGTTTTAGTTTTCTTCCCACATCCTCAGACTGCGGCTGTCATCTAGCCCATGTCAAGTGCTAGTGGTTAGGGCTTGTTTGTGACGCATGTCAGTGGTCCCAGAGTGGTCTCACAGACAGAGAAAGAAATATCCAGTAAAATGGGGGCCCCCGGGGAAGAAGAGAGAAAGATAGAAACTGGGACAAAGAAAAGCACTTAAATAGGGGAGAGAGGCACAGGGAAGCTATGTCCACACAGGGAAGAATCCACTTCAGGTGTGCAGGTCTGCATGGCTCTCGGACTCCCTGAGGCCTCCTCTGTTACCTACCGTAAGGCTCATGTGTGGTTGGCCTAGGAGCTAGGGATGGAACTTGGATCTCGTTCGTGCTCAGAAAGTCTCTATGACTGAGTCACCATCCCTGCCCTTGTTTTATTTTTTTTGCCTTGAGACAGGGTCTCACTAAGTCAGCTAGGGCATCCTTGAGCTCACTGTGTAGCCCAGAGAGGCTTTGAAGTTGTGATATTCCTTGCTCTAGCCTCCTGGGTAACTGGGGTGATGGGCCTGGCTTAGTTTGTGTCTTGACTGAATTGATCCTGGGACAGTTAGATCTCAGTATGTTTTTATTGAATGTGTGAAGGGTAAGGCAAGGTGGGAGGGACAGAGACAGAATCCTGCATTTTGTCTGCAGCTCCTGAGAGATCAAGGCTCCAAACATCCTGCTGACCCCACTGTCTTGCTTCTGTTCACAAGGTTTCATACCCAGCCTGGTGGGTTCTACAGTGAGCACCCAGGCTCAGGCAGCCTAATGTGGAGACAGAGGGGGAGGGGAGAGTACGTACTTGAGTGCCCTGCCCCACACCCCAGCAGGGTCCCCCTGCCCCACACCCCAGCAGGGTCCCCCTGCCCCACACCCCAGCAGGGTCCCCCTGCCCCACACCCCAGCAGGGTCCCCCTGCCCCACACCCCAGCAGGGTCCTCCTGCCCCACACCCCAGCAGGGTCCTCCTTCCCACACCCCAGCAGGGTCCTCCTCCCCACACCCCAGCAGGGTCCTCCTCCCCACACCCCAGCAGGGTCCTCCTGCCCCACACACCAGCAGGTTCTCCCCGGGGAGGTGGGCTAGTAGGTACCTGCACAGAGGAAGAGGACAAAGGAGACCCAGCCCAGGTAAAAGGACCAGGAGAAGAATGTCTGGACCTGGGGAGATGGAGTCTGGTACCATCTATTACTGGTGTACACTGCCATGGCCACTATTATGGAGAGAGCTGAGGACAAGAACAAGAGAGAGTAGGATTGGCCACTGCTGGACTCACCAGCTCTGGGGTCCCAGGGCAGCCCAGATCCCATTCATACCTGCAGCAAAAGCCATGACCGTTGAGACCAGAGGGCCACGGCCTGGGCTGGACAGGGCTGGACTGTAAGACAGCATCAGGAAGACCACGGACATCAGGATCCACAGGGCGGCCAGGATACAGAAGCTCTGTGTCACATGGATATAACCTAATGCAAGATGAGACTTCTGGGTGTCTGTTCCCCAATGGACGTTCCCACCCCAGAGAGACCATTGCACTTTACCTGCTACTTGGATCTCATGTGTCATTGGCCAGAGGCCGCTGTGGGAAGAGAACTTGGGGCCTGTGGCCACTATCCAGAAGTCGGTGCTCAGAGCAATCAGAGAAGAAGCCAGGCCCAGGGAGCCGGTAAGCAGGGCCAGGGACCGGCAGGGCTCCATGGACACAGCTCTGAGTTTCCACTTCTTAGGGATAAAGACACAGATAATACGGATGATTGGATCTTAGAAAAAGCAAAAGTCCATGCACCCAGACTCCCAGGACCTCTGAGCGAGGAAAGCAGCCAGCGGGCAGCTGCTTTGACTGGGAGTCTTATGGAGCTTCAGGCCTGGCGCCTGACTCTTCTCACACCCTCCCTTCCTGCGTGGCTTCCCTCCCCGCTTTGATTGGCTCTTCTCCTCCTGGGTGGCAGAGGGCCTGCAGATGTCTTTACTAGCTGGCTGTTCTGAGGGTGTCCACCTTCCGTGGTCTAGGTAGTGGTTTACACTGGTGTCACAGGTTCTGCACCTCTGCAGTTGGAGACAGCAGAGAGGGTTTCCTGGAAGACCTTAGGGAGCGGCTTGGGGGGCCCAGAGGTGGGAGGTGGACTAGTCATACTGGGGTGTGAATTAACTGAAAGGGGAGATGTGGCTGAAGGGACAGTTGTGTCACACTTTCCTGTGGTTTTTACACTTCGCTCCTAGACTCTAGCACTAGCGTTGCCAACAGTGGAGGGATGGTGAGGTCAGAATAGCAGTTTCATGGGAGGACGGACTTGGTGGGAAGAGAGACTCCATGTTCCTAGTTAAAGCTTCTGTCCGGGACAGACAGAATTCCATAAAGCTTAGGGACGGGAAGGCCTTCCTACTCCTCATCTCACACGTGTGGTGAGAAGTCAGCCACCCCGGTGGGCCTTCCAGCATGGGCGTCTTATCACCAAGATGAGGGCGTCGGTTCAGGTTCTTCTGCCTCTGTCCTCCAGTGATACTCAATTCTTCTACATGGAGTCACAAAGTGTGTCTGTCACCTCTTACTGTGGTGACTGTCTTCCCAGCACTCAAGAGCTGAGGCAGGAGGATCGTGAGTTTAAGACCAGCCTGTCCATCCAAAAACATAAAATAAAATGGAAGCAGGAACAGAGCTGTGCTCTCCCTGGTGAAGGGGCCATCCAGGGAGGGGAAGGGAATTAGGAATTCCTGGAGCTTAGGTAGGTAGGGAGCAGGAAAGCTGTGTTTTTAGAGATCAATTTGTTCATCTGTTATCCCACACATCCATTTCCATGGACATTAAACCATGGCTATCTCTGAGGTAGGGACCCATTTATCTTGTTCCATCCCAACATATCAGAATACGCCTATTCCCCGACCACACTAGCCCGTTTCTCTCCAAACCAGCCCTGTGGGGACTCACACTTTAATAGTTTCACATCATTTTTATTAGATCCCAAAATGTCTCTCTAAAAGATTTTCAATTTTTCTATCACCCCTTGTGGCAGATGGGGGCTCATGTCTTCTCAACTCCCTCCCACCTGACCCACACAGGATAGAGGGATCAGGGGCTCCCATGTTTAGAATCCAGGACTGAGCCCCCTCATTCCCTCAGGAGACAGGACTTGTGGCCCCTAGGTCCTCCCCTTCCTCTTCAGTGCCCTCATTGAGACTTCCAGCTGCAAGGTCTCAGCGTGGGGTGGAGAGGCGCCGACACTCATGCATCCGGTAGGCACACATGTAGAAAATTCCTGTGTAGACAGAGTCCATTGACATCCCAAACTATTTGAACCTACATTCCATCCAAGACATACCCCATATCCTCCTTCCCTTAGGGTCACCAGTCCCCAGACGCCTTAAGACCTAGAGTCAGCCCTCAGATCTGTGTAGGATACTCTGAGGTCGCTTGCCTTGCCCTAGATTTCAACCTTGCCACCCCTCTGCCATAGTACCTGCAAAGAAGGTCATGAGCAGGGCCACCCAACCCAGGATGTAAGACCATGAAAAGCGCCAGTCCCCGAAGCGGCGGCCCAGGAAGCTGACGGTGACTCCCGTGTAAATGGCCAAGGCCAACAGGACAAAAAGAGCTGGGGAGAGAGCATGAGGCAGGATGACGTGGGATAAGAGAATTGGAGAGAAGGCAGAGGGGGTTGGTGGGGGTGGGGACAGTGGTGATGGTGAAGGTGATGTGGGGCATGGGATCGGGTGAGGACACGGCAGAGAAGCACAGTAAAGCATTTGACAGTTACCGTTGCACTGTTCTGAGTTGCAGAGTGTCTTAATTACTCTAAAGAACTCCTTGGGTCACACTAGAGTTTGTATGAACTAACAGGTGGCTCAGGGTGCTCGTCAGAAATCCCCACCAGGGGATTAGAGGCTGAGGTTTGAATAAGAATGGTCCCCATTGGCTCATATTTTTGGATGCTTAGTCATCAGGAAGTGACACTATCTGAAAGGATTAGAAGGATTGGGAGGTGTGGCCTTGTTGGAGGAAATGTGTCACTGGGGGTGGGCTTTGAAGTTTCAAAAGTCCGTGGCAAGCCCAAACTGTCTCTCTGTTGGCCAGTGGATCAGTATGTAGCTCTCAGATACTTCTCCAGCATTGTGAATGCCAACATTCTCCTTTCTATAAAGATAATGAACTAAGATCTCTGAAACTGTAAGTCAGCCTCAATTAAATGTTTTCCTTTATAAGAGTTGATGTGGTCATGGTGTCTCTTTGCAGCAATGACTAAGACAGAAGGTTGTTAAGAGCGTGAGCCTGGGAGTGCTGCCTCTGGGACAGGGGAGGCTGGAGGTTAGACAACATCATGGGCAGTGAGTCCCTCTGTGATGGTTGGTCTTCAGTGTCAGCTCTACTGGATTTGGAACTGCCTAGGAGATGTGTGTGTGTGTGTGTGTGTGTGTGTGCTTCCAGTGAAGGAGTTATCATTTACTATTTGATTTGTGTGTGTGTGTGTGTGTGCTTCCAGTGAAGGAGTTATCATTTACTATTTGATTTATGTGTGTGTGTGTGTGTGCTTCCAGTGAAGGAGTTATCATTTACTATTTGATTTATGTGTGTGTACCACAGCACTGTGAGGAGGTCTTTTCTCTCCAGCTTGAAAGCAAGTGTCTTTAGCCACTGAGCCATCTCACCAGCCCCTCCAGAGCGTTTTAATTAAGGTAGAATCACACCCTGCATGTGGACAACAGTAGTACCTTATGGGCTGGGGGCCTGGCTAGCATAAAAATATAAGAAAGTGGGCTAAATACCAGCTGTCACCTCTCTGTTTCCTGACTGTGGATGCAACTGTCTCATATTTGTGTCATCATGAATTCTCCGCCTTGATGGTCTGTGGCCTCCAACTAGGAGACAAATATACCTTCCTACCTTCCTTAGGTTGTTTCTTGTTAAGTATTTGGTCACATCAGTGAGAACTTCCACTAATGCCCTATTCATCACCTGTGTAATAAAATTCTGACAGGACTCACCTTACGTGTCTTCATTAGTTAGTCCTGAGCTTAAAGACTGTCACTGTAAGTATTAATATTTTTGAAGTTCTATGGGGTGATAGTATTGGAATCCCTGTCTAGAATCCCCTAGTAAGGGGCTAAGAATGTGATTCAGTAGCAGAGCTCCTGCCTGTTGTGCTTCAGTGAGGGGCTGGGGTGTTTTCATTGGTAGATCCTCTGCCTAGAATTCCCCAGTGAGAGGCTAAGAGTGAATGTTTTTCTAGTGTATGTAAGTTCCCGAGATCTTATTCTATCAGAAGGACAAAAGAGAGAAAGGAAAGAAGGGAGGGAGGAAGTGATTGCCTTCAATTAAAAAGTAGAGTTAAAAGCTAAGAAGAAGGAAAGTCAGTGGAGCTGGGCCTAGGGATGAGAGGGAATGGGGTGCAGAGTCACAAGAATGGGTGTTGGGGCGGGGGAAGGAAGGGTAGGCTCACTCACTGGAGGCAAAAAACATGATGCCGGCGGAGAAGGGTCTGGAGAGGCGGGTGAAGGTGGACTGCTGTGCGAAGGCTAGGACACCCATGACGATGCCTGAGGTGGCACACAGGGCAGACAGGATCATGAAAGCCCGGGTGGCATTCCAATATGCTGTGGGGACACATGGTAGTCACTCCCGGGTCACGACCTCTGCCTTGTTTTCCTCCGTGTATCGGACTCAGCTCTTCCCTCTTTCGACCTAGCACACTCAGTCATCCCCAAAGCCGCAGCCCTCACGGCCTCTTTTGGCAAGTGTTGCTCTGATCAGGGCCACTATCCTCACGTCTGCTTTGGGTCCTAACTGTCTCTTTTGTTTCACCTCCTCCAGCTTGGCTTCTCCCTGAAGGTAGGGATTGGCTTGGTTCTTGCTGTGAACACCCCCAGCACAGATGTGGCTGGCACACAGGCCTTGTGAAATGTTGACTGAGTGAAAGTTTCCCCATGTGCTCTTGGCAATGATCTGTCTTACTCATCCTTTCCTTTCCATTATACTTTCACGCACCCACAAAGTCCTGTTCTTTTGTCTCCACTCTATTGTAGTGTCTGAAAAGACCAGAGCTGGCTGCTTCACTCTCTGTTGCATCCCCAGCCCCTGACACCTGTCTGGAACATGATAGATGTTTAGTAACACGTTTTGAGACTGGGTCCTTAGAGCCCAGTCTTTTGTCCTTGAAGTCACGATGTAGCTAACATTGACCTTGAGTTCCTGATTCTCTTGTCTCTCCCTTCCTGAGATATCATGCTTTCCTTTGATTTTGAGACAGGCTCTTGCCACATAGTCCAGGCTGTGGATCGTTCTGGTTCTCCTGAGTTCTGGAATGGCAGGTGTGCACCACCATGTTTGTCTTGTCCAACCCTTACAGACAACTGAACTGCCTCCTAGCATTCCTGGGAGATGGAAGGAGGCTGACCTGCGAAAAGTGCTTGGGTTAGGTAAGAACTTAGTAGGTTTAGCTTATTTTTTTGTTTTGGGAAATAAAATTCAATAATTATTAAAATATACACTGTAGAAAATCTTGTGCAGTATAACATGTTGTATTATGATATATTAACAGTATTGTATGATAAATTAAACAAAACATATTAAATATTGCTAATTTCCCATGCTATAAAGAATATGTTATGTAGACTAGAGCATATTATTCATTAATATTATATATTCATTCCTAATATACATACTATGTAATATATTTCTCAAATCACCCTTCTTCCATCGTGTGTGTGTGTATGTGTGTGTGTGTGAATACATGCCCACACCTGTGACTATTTATGTGGATACATGTGAGTATGTGCATATTGAGACCCAAGGTTGACCTTGGGTGTTGTTCCCCAGGAGCTGTCCACTTTTGCTTTTTGAAATAAGGTAGCTCACTGCTTGGAGTTCACCAAGTAGGCTAAGCTGGCTGGCCAGTGAACCTCAGGGCTCTACATCTCTCTCTGTTATCTCAGGATTAGAACTCATGCATCCTTTGTTTTGATGACAGGCAATCCTCTTGCCTCAGCTTTCTGGTTCTGGAATTATAGATATAAGCCACCGTGCCTGGACAGCTAGCCCGTCAGTCTGCTTGCCTGTCTGTCTACCTACCTCTGGTGATTTGAATGAGAATAGACCTCATAGGCTCATATATCTGAATGTTTGGTTTGCAGCTAGTGATACTATTTGGGAAGAATTAGGAGGTGTCGCCTTGTTGGGAGGAGGTGTGTCACTTAGGGTGGACTTTGAGGTTTCTAAAGTCTATGCCAGGTCTAACAGTCTGTCTGTCTGTCTGTCTGTCTCTGTCTGTCTCTGTCTCTCTCTCTCTGTCTCTCTCTCTGTCGCTTTCTCTTGTTGATTAAGAGGTGATTGCTCAGCTACTGCTACAGCACCACACCTACCTGCCTACCTGTTGCCATGTTCCCAATCATGATGGTTATGGACTCTAACACATTGAAACTATAAGCCCTAATTAAACTCTTTCTTCCATAAGTTTCCTTGGTCATGGTGTTTTTTCATGGCAACAGAAGAGTAACTAAGATACTTCCTGCTTATCTATTCATCCATCCATCAATCCATCCATCCATCCATCCATCCATCCATCCATCCATCCATCCATCCATCCAATCTATTATCTAGCTTGACCTATCTGTCTATCCATCTATCTATTCTATCCATCATTTTCTACATTATTTATATGTTTATTCATCTGCTCATCATATAGCCTATCCTATCTATCTACCCATCCATCCACTCTATCATCTTTCCTATCTATCTATCTATCTATCTATCTATCTATCTATCTATCTATCCATCCATTCTTCATCCATTCACCTATCCATCCATCCATCATCTTTCTACCACACACAATATACATATATGTGTATATGCATATATATACACGTCAGTCAATCAATCAATATTAATTAGTCAAGTGCCTATTCATATACCCATGTATCCATCCATCTGTAAGTAGATGGCCTGGTACACGGTAGGTAGATAGTAAGAAGTCTTTTCATCTGGCATGCAGCCCATCAACAGCCTCTGTGGTCCCTGTCCCTAACACTGTTTATTGGCTCATAGCACTTGTTAGTTAGTTTGTTGCATTTTGATACAGGGTCAAGCTATGTAGCCTAAAACTCACAATCCTCCTGTCACCACATCCCAGATGCTGAGATTATGGGCATATGCTTACTGCACCCAGATCATAGCAGATGTTTATAAAATACTGCTCTGGCAACCCTAGCCTCATTGCTGCATTTGACACAATTTTGTGTGGGGAAATGCCACCCCATTAACCTAACCACAAAACCTTACACCCTGCCACTGCAGCTAGAAAACAATCCATAGATCCAAGTCTGTTCCACCCCCTGTTGAGTATCCTAGAGCCTCTGCCTCTCTGAACCACCATGCTTTCCCTTAGAATGCCAGGGGTGTGGACCATAGGGCTGTGCTCTGGGGGAGGGCTAGACCTCAGCACCACACAAATCCTGGCCTCAAGGCTCACCAATGCTCTCCGTCTGCAGGAAGCACTTGCTACCAAGACAGTAACGCCACAGGCCCTGGTGTGCGAAAGACCCCGACAGCCGGTACTGCATCCAATGGTCCGTTGCTGTGGCTACCACCAACAGGATGGTCCCCACCCAGGCACAGAAGAGGCCGCCACCCATGAAGCTGTACATGGTGATCTGTGGAGAGGGGAGAGCTGAGGTTGTGAGTGGGTACCCTGGGCCTGAGGGAGGAGGCTTGGGGTCTGGACCCCTGGGTTTGAGAAGAAGGCTGGGGATTAAACATATGGGCCTAAAGGAGGAGAGAAGGGGTGGAGACTGGACTCCTGGGTCTGAGGGAGGAAGGCAGGTACCCGGACCCCTGGGTCTGAGGGAAAAGGGCAGGTGCTTGGACCCCTGGGTCTGAGGGAGGAGGGCTGGAAATCTGGATTCTCCATTCCTGACAGAAAGATGTCCATGAATCTCAATTCAAGGCTCTTAGAGATGAAGGCCTGGAAACCTAGACTTTTCAGGTAGGGGCTGTGGGTCTCATGCTGTTGCCTACCTGAGTGGCCGAGTCTGTCCTGAGCCCTCCTTCTGCCGAAGCCCCTCTGCGGAGACTGAGTCGAGCCAGGGTGCTGGTGTCTCTGCCTCGTGGTTCCCCCAAATCCCTTAAGCCTCCCCACACAATGACTGCATGGCCCAGCAGCTTCCAGCAGGCAGAAACACAGTGGCAGCAGAGGCCTCAATGGAATTTGCTGAAACAGGGGACAAGGGGGCCCCATCAGCCTCTGTCTGTGGCCCTCCCCATCTCCCAGGCTTTACTCCCAGTCCCCACTCTGGGTAGCCTGAGCCTCACAGAGAGCATGGCCTACACAAAAGAGATGGAACAGACATTCTTTTATTGTTCAACCTGGGCTTTCCAGTCTGAGGGACAGGGAACAGCAATGGCAGGGGCAGATACAGGTGTCTGGACATGCAGGCAAGGGGCTCCGTGGGGGGTAGGATCAAGGGCTTGTCAGAGCCGAGCTGGCACATGGCAGATGCCGGGGCTGCGGCTGGGGCATTGAGGAAGGTGCTTGGTGTAACATGATGTGAGTGTGAAGGCGGTGAGAGGTGAGGTTAATATGAACCAGGAAGAGGAGAATGAGCCAGTGCAGTGGTTCACAGCAGTGTTAGCACTCGGGTGACTGAGCGGAAGAGCGGTGAGACAGGTTTAAAACAAAGCAAACAAACTGGAGATGATGTGAGACCTTGTGGCCAAGACCTTTAATCCCAGATACTTGGAAGGTTGAGACAGGAGGGTCGCAAGTTCAAGGCCAGCTTGGACACTTGACGAGATCCTTTCTCAAGATAAAAACAAGAGACGGTTGCAATTTAGTTCAGTGTTCCACTGGCATTCGGGAGACTAGTACTGAAAAAAACAGCAAACCAACAAATTAGGAATAAACATGGGTTAGAGCTGAAGGCCAAGAGGGGTGTGGGGGAGGGTGGTGAAACGGGTTGACTACAGAATGGAGAGAGGAAGGGTGGAATGGAGAGAGGAAGGGCGTTGGGTGATGATTTGGTCTGGAAATGAGGTTGGAGCAGCCCTGGGAGCCTTGAGAATAAGACAGGATATTAGCTAGGGTTAGCATGCTGTGAGTCTGGGCACGGGAGGGAGTTTTCTTATTGGGGATGCTAAGTCAGGTTTAGGCTTTACAAGGTGACCTGGAGGAGGCCTTAGGAGGCTGTCGTTTGGGGCTGGGAAGGCTGTAGAGATGATATTTGTTTCTTAGGGGTACCTCTGAAGGATTAAGAACACTGTGAGCTCTGGGAAGCCCTGGTTGGCCGAATACTGGATGCTCTTCCGGGTCCTAGTATTCTGTCTCCCAGTCTTCAGACAGAGGTGCTGGGGGCAGGGGCGGCTCCAGTCCTCCAGCTTCCTTTTGCCCATCCTGGGATGGTGGTGTCACTGGCTGGGTCTTGGGGCCGGCCCCTGGACCTCCTGCCCTGCTTCTCTCTAGCTCATCGACTCCCAGGGGACCCCATTGTGACTGGCCCCGGCCCCGGCCCCGGCCCCTGCCCCTACCCCGAGAAGGCCTGTGCCGAACCTCCCAGCCCCCACGGGCCTGGTCCCATCTCCTTGGAGGCCTCCTGACTGTGTCTGAGTAGGTGTGGCATGGCTGGGCAGAGCAGGAGCAAGGGGGTAAGGACTGATGGAAGTTGTAGGTCCCCAGTAGGGCACTGTGTAGGAGGTAGGATAGAGTGTCCAGGCGGATGGGGACGGTGACAGAAGCCAGTTGCTCAGGGAGCCCCAGGTGGGCTGGGTCCAGGGTACTCAGAAGCGAGGGTAGTTGGGCTGGAGCGGCTGAAGCAGGCCATGCATCAGTCCCAGAAAACGGCAGAGAAAGGTTGTCCCTAGAAAGAAAATAAGACCGGTAAGTACATCAGCTGCCTGGTGCCTTTGCACCGCCACCAGGGGCCACAGCACCTGCGAATTCCCTCCTGCTTATTCCCTTTTCTTATTAATTCCAAGACCCAGATCCCCAGCTCCAATTCCCAGCTGCTAGGTGTCTAAGGCTTAACTTTGTAATTAATTATTTTACTTATTTATTTTGAAGCAAGGTCTCATGTAGCCAGGCTAGTCTCACACTCTGCTCTGTGGCTGAGGATGACCTCGAACTTCTGTTCCTTTTGCCTCCATATTTGGAAGTCAGCCACCAAAGTCCTACAGAGAGTTCCTAGGTCTTTTTTTTTTTTTTTTTTTTTTTTTTTTGGTTTTACGAGACAGGGTTTCTCTGTATTGTTTTGGAGGCTGTCGGTCCAGCCCGGCCTTGAACTCACAGAGATCCGCCTGCCTCTGCCTCCCGAGTGCTGGGATTAAAGGCGTGCGCCACCACCGCCCAGCCTGTCTACTTGGTTTTTAAGCTGTACTTTTAGTTCAAGCCACTCCTGGCTCTAACACGCTCCGCCCCCTCTTGCTCACAGACTCTTTCCTGGAAGGCTTTACCTCACTCACCCACTACACGAAGTCTCATCTTTTAGTTCTTCCATCTTCTCAATCCTGCCTGAAGTCTTTTCTAGATCCTTCTGGGGCTCTAACAGGAAAGGGAGGGGCAAAAGAAGAAACAGGAGTTGGCCCATAAAAGCAAGCAGCTCTGGGGCGGGGCTAGCGGGCTGCAAGGAGCTGCCATTGGGCAGCCCAGAATATCCTCCCACGTAGATAGAAGCCTCTGTAACTCTTTTAGATTCAGGGACCAGGCCTGGCCCCAGCTCTCCAATCCCCAACTTGAGCCTATGCTGGACCCTGTGGTTGTAGACCACAGACCTCCTCTCTCAGATTCAGGGGTCCAGGCCCCGCCTTCAGCCTCAGAGGTCCAGGCTTCAGCCCTCTTCCCACAGATCTCCATCCTCCTCACTTAGATCCCCGAGTTCAGAGCCAACCTACTCCCACAGACCCAGGGATTTAGGCCTAGGCGCATGTGTCTCCCTCTATATTTCTGCAGTTGCTCTCAGGCTGTCCTTAACGAATTGTTGTGACTTTTAGACTGAAGACCCTAATGTTGTGGTAACTTAGGCATCCTGGGGGCAGATTCTATTACATGTGACCTCTAACTTGCTTCGTGACCTTACGTTTGCTTGGTCTCTGCTTCAGTTTCCACATTTCAGAATGGGACTAATGTTACTGGTTCTGGTGAGGCAAATCTGTAAACACTATCCGAGCTGCTAAGATGGGTCTCTGGTCATTCAGAGTCACCAGTCAACCATTGATACATTGTAAACAAAGAGACTGGAGGCTTTTATTCAGGTAATGGTGCCAGGTCTACAGCCAGGACTCTGGATTCAGCCCAGCCACATCAGTCAGGGCTTTATAAAGTCAAGGAACTTAAAGTGACGTTCTGTCTGCAGGCAAACAGAAGGCTGTCTGGAGCAAAACAAGCTTTTGTCTACAGAAGCAAAAGCGGCAGTTACCCTTATGATCTAGTTTCATGCATAAACTACTGTTTTGTTAAAATTATACAAGACCAGGCAATTTTAAAACAACCCTCAGAGCCCTTACTGTATTTGGAGGCCCATTTGTGCTTTACAGTTTTGTTAGCACAGTAATTTTTAAACTTTTAAACATAAAATGAGCCATCAACATAACATTAGCCATTATGCTGCCATTAGAAACTTATTCTTATTTTTAATTATGTGTGTGTGTGTGTGTGAGTCCAGTACACGCGGAGGTCAGGAGGTGGAGCTGGAGTTGCTGGTTGTTGTAGGGGATCAGGAGTTCAAGGTCATCTCCAGCTCCATAGGGAATTCCTGGACAGCCTGCACTGCATAAGGCCCTGTTTCAAAAACAACAAAAGATCAACCAACCAGAGTCTCTGGAGATATTAAATCACGGCAATAGGGCAATGAGGGTATTTGGAATAGATGCTTAGGGAAGGGTATCATAGGAAGGTTCCAGAAGACTTGGAGGTTAACTAGTCTAGTAGACAAAATGGAGTTGGACTCTGGTTACAGCAAGCACAGGGATGAGGAAGAAAAAGGCTGGACTTTTTTTCCTTTTTCAAATTAATAAAATAATTTGATTTTTTTAAACAAGGCTTCATATAGCTAAGGGTGATCCTACACTTGCTGTGTAGCTGAAGATGACCTTGGATTTCTGCTCCTCCTGCTTCTGCCTCTCAAGTGTTGGAATTGGAATTACAGACCTGTGCACATCATCTGCTCTATGTTTTGCTGGGGTTGAACCCAAGGCCTTGTGCACTCATTGACAGCAGTATGCCAGCTAGTTAGCTGCATTGCATCCCCAGATTAAGATTTTGAACCTTTCATTTCCTTTTTTTTTTTTTTTTGCAAATTTGTTTTTGTAATGCTGGAAACAAAATCTAAGGCGTTTTTTTTTTTAATTATTTTTTTGAGTATATATGTCTGCATCACATGCATACAGTGCCTGAGAAAGTCAGAAGATGGCGCCAGATCCCCCTGGAACTGGAGTTCCAGATGGTTGTGAGATACCATGTGGGCACTAGGACTTGAACCCTGGTCCTCTGTAAAAACAGCAAGTGCTCTTAATTGCTGAGCCATTTCTCTAGTTCCAAACCTCACATGCTCAGCAAGTGCCCTTCCAATATTCTTCCACTAGTCACACCCAACTCCTCCTTTTCCCCATTCCCTCTCCTATCCTCTCTCCTCCCTTCCCCTCTCTCTTCCAGAGTCTCATATAGCTTAGGCTGTCTTCAGATTTGCTATGTTGCTGATAAAGACCTTGAACTCCTGATCCTTCTGTCTCTAGATTCCCAGAACTGGCATTACATTAAATAGTCCTTCCCTCCCTCCCTCTCTCCCTCCCTCCCTCCCTCCCTCCCTCCCTCCCTCCCTCCCTCCCTCCCTCCCTCCCTCCCTCCCTCCCTCCTTCCTTTCTTCTTTAAAGCACTATTGGGGTGGAATTCAGGGCCTCTGGCATGCCAGGCAAGCCCTCTACCACTGAGTTGTATCCCTCAGCCCTATTTCATTGTAAGGGAATGGGGTGGGGGTGGGGCTTGAGCTGTTGGGAGGCAGGCAGAGACAGGAGTGTTGGGATCAACCCAGGCAAGTTCCAGGCCTGTATGTGCTGCAGAAGTAGACCCTGTCCTAATAATAAGTAAACCCTTTGATCCATGTTAAGCTCATGTGACTGATGCTTTTGAGAGTGGGTTTTAATGTGTATCGAACTTGGAAGCTGAAGGCCAGACTGAGAAGAAAGTGTTTGAGAAGCAGGACAGCCTGTTGCAGTGCTGGAGCGGGTGCCCCTCAAGTCAAAGATGATTTTTGTTGGTTTGTTTGTCTTCCCAGTGTTAGGGGCTGAATACAGGACAGGTTAGACAGTTGCTCTCTCCCAGTGACCGAATCTCCAGATCCTCTTTTGTTTCTTGTTCTGCTATCTAACTAGTGCATGACCTTGAGCAAGCTACGTCGTCTTTCAGAGTCCCAGTGTGTGCCCATTTCCAGAGTGGCAGGATTTCTCCTACCTTATTCTTTTATTGCCACCCTCCAGCTTTAGCTCCACTTGGAACGGGGGAACTCTCCATCTTGGCTGCCTATATACCTGGTCTTTTAAGGGCAGCTTCCTTCCCTTGGCTCTGGCTCTGTGCCTGGGTAGGTGATACCTCCTTGTATCCAGGAAGTGTATTGTACCCCGTTCCTAATGTGGGTAAGTAGGTCATTCGGTAAGTTCTGGGTTTTGTTGCAAACTCCAATGACTTTTTATTATGTCCCTGCAAGAAGAAGCAATGCAATTGGTTAGGAGACTGGTTTAGAAAAAATCATGTAAAAGTCATTGTGAGGGTCACAGCAGTTTAGAAATCAGCAGAGGCGGCCCTCTGGGGGATTTGCTGGTCATGGGTGTGGCCTCCAGCCTGTGTGCTGAAGTGAAGTCTCACCTCTCACTGCTCTGCAGAGCTGTGGCCCTTTAGCCAAGCTTCTGGCTTTTAAGTTCTTACCTCGTTAGGAAGCGGCAGTGCAGAGAGGGCTCAGCGTGCTGCTTGTCCTGGACATGGGTGTCTCCATTTTTTATCTTTGGGCATTTATGTCATAACTCAGGCATGGGGGTAAAAGAACAGCCTTGGGGCCATCCTTCAAGCACCATACACTTTTTTGAGTCAAGTTTTTCTCTAGTCAAGTGGGCATGCTGACATTAACCCTTAGGAATCCGCCTGTCTCAGTCTCCCCGGCACTGTGATTACAAGTGATACCATCATGCCAGGCTTTTAAACTCTTTTAAATTTTTATTTACTTATTTACTGACTTATCCACGTGTGTGTGAAGGCATGGGCATTTGTAAGGGAGAAAGAACATCAAAGGCCAACTTGTGGTAGTTGGTTTTTCTCTGTCTACCATGTGGGTCCTGGGGATTAAACTCAGGTCACCAGGCTTGGCAGGATGTGCCTTTACCCACTAACCATCTTGAAGGCCTTTTATTTGTTTGTCCCTGGAGATCAAACTCAGGATATCAACAGTGCTGTCTCCCCAGTGTGGTATCTGTGTTTTGAAGCACACACACACACATGCACACACACACACACTCACACACTCACACATGCACTTTGGAGCAACTTTGATGACAGAATGATCAGTAGTAGCTGGGATGGTGGAGGAAGCGGCTAGCACCATCTGATATTCAGGATGGAGAATGTCCGGGAATGCTTGATATAAGAAATGGTAAAGACAAGTCAAAGTCACCGCTAAGATTTTGTGTCAGGGCATCTTGGGGAGGTGGGATGGTAAGCTAGTTTCCGGTGAGTGACAGCAGGAGGAAGTGTCTTCTAGAGTGTTGCCCTTAGGAGAGAGTGTGGGAGGATGCTGCCTTTTGGTGTATTGAGGCACAGCTACATATGCTGTGCTGCCCTCTAGGGGTGGAGGCCACTGGTGCAGTTGTGGGAGCCTTCACTGGGGCCATTTCAACTTCGTTCCCCAAGACCTCACTTTTCTCTTCAGTTCTCTTCAGAGTGGGACAGGAATGGGACCATTGTCACCATCTCCTGCTTCAGAAACTGTTTGCATGGACATAAGAGTGTCACAAACTGTGTAACTTATAAATGATAAAAAGCTATTTCTCCTTGTTCTGCAAAGTGCTGGAAGGTTCAACACTTAGTACAGGGTGAACCTGTGTTAGATGGGAAGGAAAGGGGGCAGGGTTTGGACTGAATTTGAAGTCAGGGTGTAAGACTTGGGTGTATTTATTTATGCATTCATTTTGTGAATTGAAATTTTTGTTTTGTTTTGAGACAGGTTCTCATGGCGGTAACTCTGATAGGGCTGGAACTCGCTATGTAAAACAGTCTGGGTTCAGGCTCACAGAAAGGTGCCTCCCAAGTGCTTGGATTAAAGGCGTGTGCCACCATGTCCTGTGCTACATGTAACAGAGTCTCACGCAGTTCAGGGTGGCCTCAGCCTTGCTATGGGACAGAGATGACCATAGACTCCTGATCTTCCTTGCTGGAGTCACCATCGTGCCCAGTTTGTGTGACGCTAGTGATTAGACCAAGGGCTCCATGCACGCCAGGCAAACACTCCCCTAACTAAGTTCTGCCTCCCCCATCAACAAGCTATGTGTTATCCTACAGTTGTAGGACTGGACAAGTTGTTGTAGTTGCTGCTATTTTGAGGTAGGGTCCCTAGAACTCACTCTGTAGACCAGGGTGGCCTCAAACTCACAGAGATCAACCTGCCTGTGCCTCCCCAGTGCTGGATTAAAGATGTGTACCACCATGCCTAGCAAGAGGACCTTATTCTCTTGTCAAGAGATAAAAGAATTGGCAACTCCCTCTTAGAGAATCCCACACCCATACTATTAGGTATTATACCTTTCCTTCTGGGTCTCTTAACCCTAGTGCTTAAGTCTAAATTGAAATATCCCTATTGATGGTTGGAGAGATGGTGGCTCAGTGGTTAAAATTCCTATTGAGGACTGGAAAGATGATGGTTTCAGGGATCCAGTGGTGTATTCTGATTACCCAGGGACCAGACATGTACAGAGTACACTTATAGATATGCAGACAAAATACTCAGATCCATAAAATAAGTTAATAGTCTTATTATGCCCCCAAGACAGAAAACTTAAAGAATTTTCCTGTGGTCAAGCACGTCCTCCTACTTTTGCTCCAAGGAGAGCCCATTTTGGGATACTTACCCTGCAGTGAGCCAAAAAAGAAGCTTCAGTCAAGAGAGGCCGCAGTTGTGGCCATTTTAGTCAAGAATCACTTGTCCCATTCACAGCCGTTGTGGCCCCAAGACTTTGCAGAAAGGCTATGAAGTGGGGGTGGAATGAACAAAAGGTCCTTTCTGAGCCTCCTGGTCTACTGGTGGGAGCTGTGCAGCCTAGACTGGCACCCATGCATGAGTGCTTGTCCAACAGGTCTTCAGATGAGGCAAACGCCCACCCACCACGACAGTCTGAACTGGCAGGACCAGTGGACATCAGGACAGCACAGAGTACTGCTGGGACCCTGTGACCTGCATGCTCTCCTCTCTTGTAATATTGATGGTTGTCTTGGTGTTAGTGTCATTTTGTCAATCATTCCTGGGACAGAGGTGATCATCTCTGGAAAACCCATTTTGTTTTCAAATATTTTCCCCTAAAATTCCTTGGGAGCTGATGCTTCTCGGGGTTCTTGTCTGGGGATGCCAGTTATCATCCCAGACCCTGGGAGCTGCTCTGATTTAGTGCTGACAGGATTGGAGGAAGCTCACCTAATTTCTGTAAATATGTTTTGAACAACATTGTTCTTGAAAATCTGTGCCTGTGTCAATCACTGTTTAGTTTTGTAAAGACAGGATGTACCTGGCTTAATATTTAGCCAAGCTAGCAAAATGAAGTGGGTTTGTTTGTTTGTTTGTTTGGTTGGTTGGTTGGTTTAAAGATGTTTTAAAGTAAAAGTTGCGAGAAAAGATATTTGACATATTTGCTTTTGCCGGAGGTTAATGTTGGAGGATGGAAAAAAAAAACTTGTTTGCTATTATGGAAAAACATGCTTGTTTTTGATGTAGCTATTTGGGGCCAGTCACTTGTATGAAACCCATCTGGTAGGACAGACACTTCATTTCTTCCCACCGATGCCCCTTCTCCATCTCAGGACCTGAACCCAGCTGCGGCAGAACCACAGCAGTCTATGCCTTCTAGGGTCAGCTGTCAGGGTGAACCAGTGCTGGATGGGAGAGGGAAACTGGGATTTGAGTTGGGTTCCAGGTTTTGATTTAGAAGCCAGCTAAACTTCACTGTTTATTCTATTCACTATCTCAGTTAGTCCTCTGCTTTTGTCATCTGGGTTCTGGGTATAGAACTCGGTTAATCAGCTTGGCAGGAGGTTTCTTTACCTGCTAAACCCTCACCAGCCCCTGGCTGAACCTTAAAAAAATAACTGACTGACTGGGTTTGGGATGTGGCTCAGCCAGTAGAGTTTAGTATTCACAAGGTTACATTTCCAAAACTTCACAAATCAGATGTGGTGGCACATGCCTTTGACATGCATTGGGAGCTGGGGACAGGATCAGAGGCTCTAGGCTATCCTTGGCTACATATGTAGCTTGAGGCCAAATTGTATAAAAACAAACAAACAAACAAACAAACAAACAAAAACAAAACAAAAGAAACATCCAGGAATGGTGGCACAGGCTTTTAATTCCAGCATTGGGGAGGCATAAGCAGGAAGATCTCCAGTAGTTCAAGGCTAGCCTGGTCTACCTAGTGACTTGCAGGCTAGCGAGTGCTACATAGAGAATGAGGTCCTATCTAAAAAAGCAAGCAAACAAACAAGTTGTTGGTGAGTAAGAGACCGGATAAAAAGTGAGGAGAAAAGTCTTTTTAAAAATCACATTTGTAATGTGCATTCTCTCTGACAGCCTGGTCCCAGAGCCAAATGAACATGCAGGACGCTATATTAATTATGAAGCTGTTGGCTGTTTTCTATGGTTTCTTAATGGCTAGCTCTGACTTAATTATTAACCCATAATTACTAATATATATTTTTATAAGGACTTATTTTTCTGAGGACGCCATCCTGATGCGTCCTTTCTTCCCAGAATCACATGGCGACTCTCCACTCTTGACTACTCTTCCCAGAATCCTCCTTGACTCCTAGTCCAACCTATCTTGCTTCACTATTGTCCATCAGTGCTTTATGTATCAAACAATCAGACAAACATATACACAAAAGGACTTCCCCCATCACATTGTGTGTCTGAAGGTCAGAGGACAGTTTGGGGGGGTCAGCTCTTGTGGGCCCTGAGGATTGAATCCAGGCTCTGGGACTGGTAGCAAGTGTCCTAACCTGCTAAGACATCTAGCAGGCCCAGAAAAGAGTTTTAACAGAATAGGCCTAGATCAGCTGTTAACAAAATAAAGCCTTCTTTTGCTTACAGATCTTGAAGGTAGTGGTCCCCAATGGGCTGGTTCAAGAGAGACTCTGGCCATCCCTCACGTTCAAGCTGGGCTCCTGTCAGGGGCCTCCTCCATAATTCAGTCATAGCATCATCGAATCTTCATAGAGAAGCCGTGACTCCAGGCCACACTGCAGAAATACCGCCTCTTAAAATAGGAAGCAAGTTCCGAGAAAACAGACTTGTGGCTTATCTGCCTAGTGTAAATCACCAAGTCACTAGGGCGTAGGCTTGAACAACAGAGGGTAGAATGTGAAAGACAGGTTACCAGAGGACACAGGATGACCCGCCCCTCCCACTAACCTCTTCCCTGCCAGCTTCCTAGCAGCTGCAGCACACCCCCATTCCTTCCCCTCCTCCCTTCCCCTATGTAAATCCCTTTGGGATGAAATAAAGGTTGTCATGTTGATCAGACTCCTGTCTTGGTGTCCTTTCTCATATCTCTGGTCCCCTGTTTTTCTCCTAGGCATCCCCCAGTCCCCCACGTTGAATGTCCCATGGGTCGGGGCGTTTCTCATCCTGTGTTGTTCCCCAGCCACACCACTAACACAACACTGCTGGTGCCTGAGAGTTCTGGGTAACAGTGCCTCTCCTCAAGTCCTACGCCGTTGTTGCAGAAGTTGTGACCTTAGCACATGTGTTTTGAAATAACTGACCTCTGTCCAAGTCTGTTGCTTTAACAGCACAGGCTTATTAACTCCAAGGTCAAAGAGACAGTCAAGGGTGGCTTTGGAGTTGAAGCACACTGTAATAGGCTCTCCTGTCCTTTGTGTAGTTTACAGACACCCAACCTGCTTTTTCTGGGGCGCTCTCCAGTGGCCACCCTACAGCCTACCACACTTCAGGGTCTGTCTGAATGCCCCCTCCCCCATTTTATGTGTATGTTTGTATGTGTGTGGGTGCACGCGTGTGAGTACAGGTGCTTGTGTGTGTTCACATGGAATATGATGTGAGGAATCATCTCCATCACTTTTCTGCCTTGCTCAGTGAGTCAGAGTGTGGTGGCTTAAATGAGAATTTTCCCGTTTGAGTCATATGTTTGAATACTTGGTCCCAAGTTGGTGAATCTATTTGGGAAGCATTAGGTGGGATGGTCTTGTTGCAGGATGTGTGACATTTTAGGATGAGGTATATCACTGGAGGCAGGCTTTGAAGTCTCAAAAGCTCATGCCATTCTCATTTAGCTCTCTGCCTCATACTTCATAGCAATAGAAGAGTAATTAAGAAATAGGGTGTCTCAGTCAAACCCAGAACTCATTGAGGCTAGAATGTGGTCTTGTTGGAGGAAGTATATCACTGAAGGCGTGCGGGCTGAAGTTTCAAAAGCCCTTCCCAGTTATCTCTTTCTCTGCCTTGTGCTTGTGGATCAGGATGTAGCTCTCAACTACTTCTCCTACACAATGCCTGCCTGCCTGCCTGCCAGCCAGCCATTATCCCTGCTACTATGATCATGGACTCCAACTCTCTGGCACTATGAGCCTTCAAATGAAAGCTTTCTTTGGCAAATTGCCTTGGTCATGGTGTTTTGTTACAGCAATAGAAAAGTAAGTGTGCTTGGTAGTCTCATATCAACTTGACACAAACTAGGGTTGTCTGAGTGAACAGAATCTTCATTGAGAAAATGCTGCCATAAGAGTCAACTATAAGACATTTTTTAAATTAGTGGTTGATGTGGGAAGGCCCAGTCCATTGTGGTGGTTTCATCCCTGGGTAAGTGGCACTGGGTTCTATAAGAAAGCAGGCTGAATAAGTCATAGGAAGCAAGCTAGTAAGCAGCACCTCTCCACGACCTTTCCATTGGCTCCTGCCTCCAGGTTCCTGCCTGTTACAGAATGTTGGTTTGCACTCTGAAGATGTGTCACTGTGATTGGTTTAATAAGTAGCTGAATGACCAATAACAAGGCAGGAGAGAATGGGTGGGACTTTTGGGTGAAGAGAGGAACTCAGGATGAATCCAGACACTCGAGAGACTCCACTGAAGAAGTTGGACACATGGAATAGAGGTGATGTAACCAAGCTACATGACAGAATGCAGATTAATAAAAACAGGCTAATTTAAGTTACAAAAGCTAGTTGGGGAAAAGCCCAAGCTGAGGACAAGCTTTCATAATTACTAATAAGTCTCCATGTCATTATTTGTGAGCTGGTAGCCCAAAGGAAAGTCTGACTACACATGTCCTGTTTGAACTCCTACCTTGACTTTCTTCAAAGATGAACAGCAATATGAACGTGTAAACCAAATAAACCCTTACCTCCCCAACTTTCTTTTGGGTCCTGGTGTTTTGTGGCAGTAATAGAAACCCTAACTAAGATACTAAGATAAGGAAAACGAGGCTCTAAGTAGGTAAGTGTACTTTTTGCTTCAACATTTCAGATGGCCAACTTCCTGCTTCATCTTCCTTAGAAAGACATATAAAATGGACTTTTTTCTCACTGAAGGAAGCTGTCAGGTGGGACTTTCAAATCTTCCATAAGGCTTTGATGAAGGTCTTATGCCTCCACTACAATATGACAGATGGCATCTTGGTGGGAGTGCATGAGAAATGGGTAAGTCATTGGAAGATAAGACTTGAGAGAGCCAAGGCAGTCAGACTTGTAAGCCCCTCTCTTGAGAACTGGTCCATTCTGTGAATAGCAGCATCGACACCTTCCAAGGGTTGCGCAGCGCCCCATGGCCTACCACCTTCTACTGTGTCCCACCCATGAAAGGTCACGTCACCTTGCCATTTCCTCCAAGCCTTTGAGAGACACACTCAGAGCATACCCGAGCAGGAGCTGCCATCTTTAAAGTAAGTTGTTCTATACATTTATTTATTTATTTATTTAACTTACATATGTGTGCATGCGCAGACGTGAGCCGCAGTGCACCCTGGGAGGCACGCGGGCCATCAAAGGACAGCCTGTGGGAGGTTCCTTCCACCACGTGGATGCAGGCTTGGTAGCAAGCACATTACCCGCTGAGGATTATTTTAAGAGGAGAATCTGCATTCCTCTGAGGGTCCTCTTTATTGCTCTCCTATTTTCCTTGTAGGAAATCTTAGTCCTCAAATCTGGGACACCCTCAGTGGAACCTGACTTCGGCATAATCAGGGTAGCTGTCTTGGGGGTTCTGGGTCTCCCACATTCTGAGGCGGGAGAAGTTGAGGGCAGCATAATGGAGTTCTTCAGGGTTATTCTCAGAGGCAGGGTCCTGGGAGGATGGCTTGGGATTTGGGCAACCAGAAGAAGTGAAGTGTGGCTCCTTCGGTTTCTTTGCTTCAGGAGAGTGAGTGTTCAGGGGCGGGATCCTGGAAGGGGTGTTGGGTTTCGCCTTCCAATTCTGAGCCTGAGGGAACAGCAAACATCCTTCACTCATTCTCTCAGCAAGTAGTTGTGCACCTACCGTGTGCCTGGTACTGACTTAAGAACTGGGGCTCTAGCTTTGGAGTAACACAGAGCAAGGAGCAAACAGCACACAAACAAAAATATAATAATGGCAGTGGGTGAGTGCTGTGGAGAAGAGAAAGCAGGGCTTGGGGATGGAGAGGCAGCTCAGCAGCTAAGAGTGCATGCTGTGAGGAGGCCTAGGCAATCTATTGGGCCTGGGGCAGTAGATCAGTACCCATCCCGAGTATACAAATGGTCTTTGGACTCCCATCCAACAATGTGACATGCACTCTCACCCTGAACTCTTGGGGGAGGGTCCAGGCCCTGGCCTGGATGAAATGACAGACTATGGACACCCCAATGGAGGGCCTCACTCTCCCTGGGGAAATGAGGGGATATTGGGGGGGGGTTGGTGAGAGGGCATGGGAAGAGGGGAGGGAAAGGGAGAGGGACCTGGAATTGACTTGTGAAGCAACCTTGTTTCTAATTTAAATTTAAATTTAAAAATAAAAGAGTACATGCTATGCTTCCAGAGGACCCAAATTTACTTATCAGCACTATATTCTGGCAGATCCTAACCACCTGTAACTTCAGGGAATCTGAGCCCTCTTCTGGGCCCAACAAGAACAGTGTGTGCATATGTGTACATGCATGCGTGTACACACACACACATACACACATCACACATATACTACACACATGCACACAATTAGAAGAAAAAATAAAACATAAACCTGAGTGTGGTAGCACATGCATTTAATACCAGCACTCAAGTGGCAGGGGCAGGCAGAGGACAGCCTGGTCTACACAGTGAGTTCTAGACCAGCTAGAGCTATATGGTGAGACCCTGTCTCAAAAAAAAAAATAAACCTTAAATAAACAAAATTAAAAGAAGAGTCACAGCTATAGATAAAATCATCTCACTACAAAGAAATAATTCTGAGATAGAGAACATCTGTTAATTGCCCCAATTTGATCCCTGTACTGTGTGAGTATAGTGGCACATTGTACCTATAAATAGACACAGCTGTTATTATAAGTGCCAAATAATAAGTGAACATCTTTGGTGGGGTGATAAAGCATAGTGTATTAAATGGAGCCAGAAGCCAAGGAGTTTTGGAAACAACAAATTCAGGTATTCTAACAGAGTCTGGGGTGCACTTAAGAAAGAACAAGACGGGGTTTGAAAGGATGGCTTGATGAGCAAATGTGCTTGTAGTACAAGCTTGAAGGTTCAGGTTCCATCCCTGAGACCTAAAATTGAAAGACAGAACTGACTCCTGAAAGTCAGCCTCTGACCTCCACATCTGCACTATGGCATGCGTGCTTACTCCCCGGTGATAATGCTCATGAATAATTTTAAAAAATTAAAAGAGCAAGATGGTCTCTGTCACTATGCAGTCAGTCTTATAAGACAAGGGGAAGCTGTCTACCTCGAAGTCCCTGGAGGTGACTTTGAAAATCCAAATAAGTGATCAATGGGGGATTTAATAGGGAACTGGGGTGTTTTTGATTTGTGATTTTCTTCATCTTTACATTTTAGAATGATTATAGAGCCATGAAAGTGTGAAAAGTAGGGCCAGTGATGTGTCTCAGAGCAGAGTGTGTGCCCAGTGATGTATCTCAGATCAGAATGTGTGCCCAGTGATGTATCTCAGATCAGAGTGTGGGCCCAGTGATGTATCTCAGATCAGAATGTGTGCCCAGTGATGTATCTCAGATCAGAGTGTGGGCCCAGTGATGTATCTCATGGTAGAGCGTGTCGTTAGCATGCACAGAGCCCTGGATTCCATCCCCAGCACCGCATAAATGAAGTATGGCGGTGCATGACTATTATGTCAGCACTCTGAGAGTGGAGGCAGGAGGATCAGAAGTTCAAGGTTGTCCTTGACTATTCAGGGAAATCCTTGATTATTGAAGGGAATCTGAGGCCAACCTGTGTAGGAGTGAACCCCACAAAGCTATCTGCCCATGAGGGTGGGGACATGTAAACTGACACAGTTAGATATAAAAGGAAGTGAAAGGAAAAGGAACCTCCCTTTTCTCCTGGAAGCCAGCCACGCTTCTAACTCCTGGTTTGTGTGACTCTCTCTCTCTGGTAAATAAATATATTGTTTTCCTATAGCATTGACTATCATTAATAAACCTGGGCTATAAGAGAGCCTTTCTGAGAAGGAAAACGTAGTAGTACAGAGAGTTCCCTGTGCCCTTACTCTAGTTTTCCAGTGAATCTATTCAGAGAAGGATGCTGGTGTCTATACAATGTACCTTGTTACCTGCCTTCTAGAGGAGGCTCCTATATTAACTCACCTTCAACGTGTTTCTGTCTATTTTTAGAGGCCAGTCTGAGCATGCCCAGAGGCATTTCTGCCATGCATGTTTCTTTCTTGAACTATGAGGTTAAGCAGGGTTGTGCTTCTTAACTGAGCATGCTCAAGAGTGTTGCTTCAGCTGAGCATGCTCAGGGGTGTGCTCCTAAGCTGGGCGTGTGCAGGAGTCTGCCTGGCTTCAAGGCTGTTTGTTCCCTATGTGAATAAGTGCATGCCCAGACTGGGGATCTTTGTTACTGTTCCCGTCATACTAGTGCAGGGAGACACATGTGACCACTACAGTCAAGATCCAGGACCCTGGATCATCATGGAGTAACCCCCTTACAGTCCTCAGAGTCTCACTCATCACTCCGCTTTCCTGAATCACAATCATTTTACTCACCTACTGTCTGTCTCATGCAGTCCAGGTTGGCTCTGAATTTTACACAGCCAAAGATGACCTGGCACTTTCAATCCCCCTGCCTCCACTTCCCTAGTGCTTGCCACACACCACCATGCTCACTTTCGTGCTGGGCTGGGGATGCGTGCATGCTAGGAAAGCACTCTACCAACTGAGCTACATTTCCAGCCTTTCATCTCTGTAATTTTGTTACTTTGTCAGTGTGATATAAATGGAATCATGTATCATGTAACATCCAGAGACTTTTCATTACGCACGAAGAGTTTGTACATGTAGGGAGATTTTCAGGGGAAAGGTATGCCTGTGTGGTTTCTACAGGATGTCCCATGCAGAAAAAAAATGGAGTGGAAAGGACAAGAACAGAATCAGAGGAGGTCATGAAGAAAGCAGATGTGGCGTCCAGTTGAGAAATGACACATGGACTTCGGGGTTGAGGGAAGACTAGGGTGAAGCGGGTTGGGTGCATTTTGAAGAGGATCTGGTGATAGGTCAGTTGTGGGAAACAGGAGAAAAATAGGGAACAAAATATTATGCAAAGTCTTAGTTTACTTGGGGAAAGCTGTTAATATTTGCTGAAAGAGGAACGGGGAAGAGGGACATAAAGGACAAGGCTGTACAGAAGTTGATTTTGTAAAGGCTCAGGTAAGAAATGCCCACTGATGTCTGAGTGTAGATGGTACCTGACTGGTTGGATAAGGGTCTTGTGTGCAGGGAAGAAGCTGAGAGACATGGGTGTTTGTTTGTTTGAGTAATCACTAGGTAGATGTGACCTCATAATTGTACCTAATGTTTACTGAGAACTCAGTAAGGGCCCACGCCTCTGAATATTTTACAGATTTCGTACACACACACACACACACACACACACACACACACACACACACACACACTTCCAGGAGGTAGGCACCACTATTATCCCAATATTCTAGTTGAGGCACAGAGAAATTCAGTGACTGCTCAAGATGATGATTAATAGAAAACAAGAAGGGGCAGGGAATAGGAGCCTAGGCAGCCTACTTGGGTCCTGTATTTTAACCAGCAGGATGTACCACATCACAGGATATTAACAACTATTAGGCAGGACTGAGGGTGTGGTTCAGTGGTACAGCACTTGTCTAGCATCCACCAAAGAGGTTCTGCAAGTGTTTCTCAGTGATAGAGTATCTCCCCAGAGTCCCCCCAGTGAGGGGAGAGTGTGCCAGGCATGCACATGTCTCTGGGTTCCATTCCCAGCACAGCAACTACAAATTAGGTGGTTACACATAGTCAGTTATCCCTTGGTGGCAACAATAATGGAAGAAATGTAAGCCACCAATGGAGAGTGTTCATGTTCTGTTCCTCAGACTTGGAAGCAGGGGGAGATACGAAGTCTCAGAGGGAGCCAGGGTTTGGGTTGAATCTTGGATGCTCCATGTCTCTAAGGCAAAGGGAAGGGAAGAGATGTGTGCAGAAGTAGTCAGGAATGCTGATTTAGAAAGCACAGCTGGCAACTCACCAGGGACCTGGTCCTGGGGACCACATTGATGTAATCCAGGATTGTGCTGCCCCGTGAGAGCTTGGGTCTTGAGGTTTCCTTTGGCGTTCTTTTCTTCTGTAGGATCTTCACACTGAGGAAGTGTGTACTGTCCCCATTTGCCCTCTCTCAGATCCCAGTCCCAGTCCCCACAACAGCTCCTTCTAACTCACGTGATCATGATGAGGCAGAGGGCAAGGACGGCTGTAATGCCAAAGCCCAAAGCTGCTCCCTTGGAGAAAGCTGTGGAACTGACCTTATCTGCAAAAGAATGAGCACATCCCATGTGCGTGTGTGTGGCGATCTGCACACAGCACCGGGCATGCTGGACTCCATGCTTCTTCCCTTTTTCCTTTTAGAATTCATGACTGCATCCTGGGCTGGGTGTCAGGCCTTCCCTTCTGTTCCTCCACACACGCCTAGGTCATGTTTCCACATCCTCCCAGACTGCTCCAACCACAGAGCCCTGCTGCATATCCCACTCAGCCCCTCCATAGAGAAGCCTAGTCCCGAAGGGCCTTTACCAGGCAGTAGCAGAACAGAGGCCCTCTGGGCCCCATGGGTGTTCCAGGCCTCACAGCTGAGCCAGAGGCTGGGCCAGAGCTCTCCACGGAGGTTCAGGGAGCTGTTGACCCAGGGTCCTGTGGAGCTGGAGGTGACCGTGAAGGAGACATTGCTGCTGTTCCCCTCCAGCAGCCCCTCCCCCAGCCGCCAGTGCAGGGAGGGGGCGGGCCAGGCTCTGGAGGAGCAGCTGCAGTGCAGACCCTCAGCCTCCCAGGAGCAGGAGGATCTGGGCATCTGTGGGGGGTCTGTGGGGAAGGAGGAGAAGGCTCAGCAGGTGTCCCCTCATCACAGGTCCCAGGTGTCCCTTTCCCTACTCACAGTGTACAGAGAGGCCCAGAGAGATGCTCTGAGAACCCAGCGGGCTCTGTGCAGCACAGGTGAATTCTCCCTCATGTTCCCTCTGGACCAGAGGCAACGCCAGCACCCCGGACTCTGAAGACTGGCTCGGGAGCAAAGTCTGTGCCACCCCAGTCCAGCTCAGATTAGCTGCGGGGTTGCTGTGGGTGACACAGACTAGACAGAGGCTTTGGCCCTCCAGGACCGGGAGGGAGGTGCCATTCCTGAGGATTTCCAACACTGGAGAGGACAGGAAGCAGAGTCCCCGTGAGGTCAATCAATTGGGACACCTCCCATCCCCCAACCAGATGTCCAGCTTCCTGTGTCCATCCTTTCCACCTGTTCTGTTTGCTTGGGAAACAGTCACTCTCAGGTTCTCTGGGGGATCTGCAAGGAAGACAGAGAACTGGTTCCAGTCAGGCCAGGGCCATCTCCCTGGGTAGAGCACTCCTCCAGAGATGGAAGCTGTGGGTGCTGAGTCACTCACTGGCCCCCACCACGAGCTGCCCACCTGTTGGTCTGACTGTTGTAAGCCTCATGCCTCCCCTCCCCCCGCCCCATCACTTCCTTTTCTCCTCAGCACTGGGAATATTTGGTGGATCACACTCACACAGCACAGACAGGTCCAGGCTATGTTGCTGGAAGCCCAGCCTGTTCTCTGCTTGGCAGCTGTACCGTCCAGAGTCCCCAGCTTTCACCCGGGGCAGCTCCAGTGCCAGGGGTCTGGAGTCCACAGGGCTGGACCGAGAGAGGATTCGGTGCTCCAGGCTCCAGCTCAGCGAGGCAGGGGGGCTGGCTGTCGGCAGCACAGAGGAGGCGCAGAGACTGGCCTTGCTGGACTTCCAGATGTGAGGTGTTCCTATGCAGTTCTGAGACCAAAGAGATACACAGGGAGAGGAGGAGATAGAAACACTGATAGAGAGATAGAGAAGGATGAAGAGAGAAACAGACAGAAATAGAGAGATGCAGAGATGCAGACAGAAGAGGGATGGACACTGGTAGGTAGAGATGGGTACAGACATAGGAAGAGATACAGACACAAAGACAGAGACTGACAGAAACAGAGAGGCAGAGATAGACACAGAGATAAAGAGAGACAGAAAGATAGAGGATAAGGAAAGGGTGAGGAGCAGGACAGAGGGTGGAGGTAGACAGCAGAAAGAGTTCAGGCCTGCCCCTCCCCCTCCCCAGACTTACACCACCCAGGAGACCCTCGTACCTGACACATTATCACGGAAAATGCTGATAGCAAGATCTCTGGGGGCATCTGAGAGAAGATTGTGAGCCAACTTCAGAGGGAGAATGCTTTATTCATCATGAGAAGTCCCTCAGGAAAGGAAAAGCACCACTGTCCCAGCAAAGGCGAGTGACCAGCCAGAAATGAAGCAAGGCACAGGGGCCCCCAGGCTGGCGTGCCCTCCTCCACTTTTTTTTGAATGTATGAATATGTGATGAACATGCATGTGCGCATAGGAGCACATACATGTATTTGGAAGCTAGGTGTTGATGTAGGGTGCCTTTCTGAATCACCACTGTTCACATTGTTTACCGAGGCAATGTCTTTCATTGAACTCAAGCTGCCAACTGGATAGCCAATCTAGCTAGCCAGTTAGACTTGGCGCTCACTCTGCCTCAAAGCAATGAGGTAACCAGTGGGCCACCATACTTCACCACCTTTTGTGTGGGTTCTGAGGTTCAAAATCTATTCCATGCACTTGTGTGTCAAACTTTTTATTAGCTGTGTCTTCTCCCCTGCAGCCCTCCTTCTCCTTTGAAACAAGATCTCTAGTATGAATATGTTCTGTGTAGCCAAGGGTGATAACCTGGGACTCCTGACCCTCTAGTGCTGCTATGCCGACGTGCACCACCATCTCTCATTTATGTGGTGCTGGAGATGGGACGCAGGGCCTTGTATATGTTAGCAAGCACTGTGCCAACTGAGTTACATCCCCAGTACTTACATGAACTCTCCTGAACATGGAGTTGGGGGATTGCCTACCTCCCACCACCAAGACTCTGAACATCCCAAAGCACCATATCATACTCACAGGCCATGATTAGTCGGACTGTCCTCTGCATGCTCTTGCTGGAGAAGGCCACCTGACATGTGAGCTCAGTTTCATGGTGCTGAAGTTCTGGAGTAAAGCTGAGCACTGAGTAATGGGAGGTGTGTGGTCTGGCTTCTTGGGAGGAGATGGCGGCCCCCATCCAGGAGAAAGAAGGAGCTGGGCATTGCTCGAAGGTCCAGTAAAACAAGCAGACAATGGTCACTGGCTTCCCAGGTTCCAGGATCTCAGGAATGAAGACATCTGGCTTCTGAGTCAGGGCTAAGGGAGAGGGTGCCAATCCTGTGGCTCCGGCTGTCCCCCCTAGAAGTTGTCTTCTTTGCATCCTGGTTCACCTGCCACCGTCCCTCCTGCAGTGAGGGACAGGGGTCCCTGCTGTGTCCACAACTCTTACCTTCCACTTGCAGAAAGAATCCTTCTGGAAAAGTGAACTTCTCATATCCTCTCTCCACCCGAAAGAAGTAGCTTGCTGAGTCTCTCTCCTGAACATCTTTGATCATCAAGGAACAGTTCCTTTTTGGGACATCCCCCAAGAGCTGGAATCTCCCCTGGCTTCCTGATTCTATTATTTTATCTTTGTCATTTGTGGCCACTACAAATGTAAGCGGTAGTCTTTTGGGGCCTTTGAACCAGTAGCCATAAGCTGGGATAGTGTCAACCCAGTAGCTCTTGGGGGAGGAGAAAGAGCAGGGTACAACAACACACAGACCCTCCTGTGCCTTCACAATTCTCGTCACCTGGAGGAAGTATCTTCTGTCCTGACCTTGAGACCCTGAGGGAGACAGAGACTTGACCTGTAGCCCCACCCCAAGACCCAGCCCCAACTTGGGTCACTCTGGCCTGGAGCCCACTCACCTTCCACGAGCAAGGACAACAGAAACAATAGCAGTGACATTGTGGTCTTAGGAGGATCTTAGACTTGCACAAGTTGGCTTCCTTCCCCAGCTGTGACAGATGGGGTAAGAGCAAAGGGGAAATGTAGGCGGAAGCAGAGAGCTGGGAACTGGTGCGAGACGGGGAGCTGCTGGTGGCAAGTTCTGAGGTCATGGGTCTCTCCTTTTCCCACCATCCTCCCCATATCCCTTGCCCACTCGTGTTTTGTAGGGCATTTGGAGCTTGGACATTTGGAACTGGTCCTTCCCAGTCATCTCTGGTGGCTGGAAAGGAAAGGACAGGGCTGTGTCTCGTCTGGGACCTGGCTATGGATGGATGTAGGCTGGGGACTTTCCCTTTAGGTACCAGGTCAGTGAGAAAGCGGAAGTAAAAATTTTGGTGGGTGCTTCTTGAAGGGGCCCCTGGTGGGTGCAGCAGAGTGAGACCTTCTGGAAGAAGCTGGTCTCACCACATGCAACTCAGAATGCCTGGATAAACTGATGTACATTTTAAAAAAGGATAATCATTCTATTTCTTGGTATGAAAATGTCTCAAACACCTGATGGGACCTACTTACGTTTTTTCAAAAAAGGGTTTTGGTTTGTCTGATGTTCAAATGTAACTGGATATTCCTCAGCACACTTGTTATTCATTGCCTCCCCCTTAATTAGGGAAATATAGACTGATCTTAATCCTCCCCCTTCATCCTCCCTGCTGAACCACTGACCCTTTGAACTCCAGAAGCACCCACACTTTTCCTTCCTCTTCAGTCAGAGGGCAGAAGATCCCACATGCAATTCAAGCACTGATGAGATTTTTCCATATCTGGGGCTGACACTGGCACTAGAAATCAAGCCTCATCTGTTCTCAATGACCCTTTCATGCCTTTTCAGTGCAACCTCAGTGACTCTTACACGTGACCAAGTTCAGCTGCCAACAGGGGTTACCAACATGGATGGCCCTTCTGGTACACAGTTTCTGTGTGCTGACCCCAAGGAAATACTTCCCAGAAGGTTTCGTGTGTGTGTGTGTGTGTGTGTGTGTGTGTGTGTGTGTGTGTGTGTATGCATGTAATAAACTTTTGTAGTTTGAGTGTGAAGTGTTTCCCACAGGCCACTGTGGAAGCTTGACCCAGATGGTGATGCTGCTTTGAAAGTTCATAGAGCCTTTGGAGTGGGAAGGTTGACCGAGGTGGGTCACTTGGGAGTGAACCTCTAAGGGATAAAGCTATGCCCTGACTCCCTTGAGATTTGACCAACCACCTTATGCTCTCACCACATACAGGAGACAGGCTTTCCTTGCCACAATGGACTGTTCTTTTGTATCTATGAGTCAAAATAAGTGCTTCCTCCCTTTAGTTTCTTCTGTTAGACATCTGATCACAACAATAAATAAATAGACAGATAAATAAATCTCAGTGTCAGACAGCTGGGACCCATGATCTGAGCTGCAGAGGGCTTGGATGTGGTACCTCTCTGACTCTACAATGCACACAGCTTGTCTCCTAGATTCAGGTCAGCTCCACATGGCTGCTGCTGTCCTCAGTGGTCATCCCATCTGGCATCTCCAAAATGCTCTGGTCTGCACTGAAACTTGGCTGTACCTTCACCAGTAGCCTCTCTTGGTCTCACTTCAGGAACTGTGATCCTGTTATGTGTTGCCAAGATTCAACTCCTTGCCATGACCTCTCCAGCCCTGGGGTTTCTACTGCAACTGAGGTGGCATCTCACCAGGGGCCACTCTGGGCTTCTCTCCATGGATTCAAGACCTGCCACACAGTGCCAAGCCTCATCTAGTCTCATGACCCCTTCATGCCTTTTCTCTTTTTCCCTCAATATATGTTTTTATTTAAATTAGAAACTTGAATGCTTCACATGTCAATCTCAGCTCCCTCCCCCACCCTCCCTTGTCCCTCCACCAGCCTTCCCAGCCCCACACCCAATCCCCACATCATTCCCCAGGGAGGGTGAGACTCTCCTTGGGGGATCTCCAAAGTCTGCCATTTCATCCAGGGCAGGACCTTAGGCCCTTCCCCATGTGTCTAGGCTGAGAGAGCATCCCTCTATTTGGAATGGGCTCCCAAAGATCGTTCATACACCATGGTAAATACTGATCTACCCAAGGCCCCAGTGATTTCTGTGTCCTCCTCCATGGCACTACATTCATGGAGTCTGGATCAGTCCCCTGTTGAACTCTCAGTCATCAGTCTGGGACTAAAGAGCTCCCCCTTATCTGGTCAGCTGTCTTTGTGGGTTTCACCATCATGGTCTTGATCCCTTTGCTCATCACTCCTCCATCTCTGTCACTGGGTTCCAGGGGTTCAGTTCAGTGTTTAGCTGTGGGTATCTAAAAACAGCTTGGTATTGGCACAAAAAATAGACAGGTAGACCAATGGAATCAAATTTAAAACCCTGAGATTAATTTACAAACCTATGAACACCTGATTTTTGACAAAGAAGCTAAAATTATACAATGGAAAGAAGATAGCATCTTCAGCCGGGCGGTGGTGGCACACGCCTTTAATCCCAGCACTCGGGAGGCAGAGGCAGGCGGATCTCTGTGAGTTCGAGGCTGGGCTGGACCGATAGCCTCCAAAACAATACAGAGAAACCCTGTCTCGAAAAACCAAAAAAAAAAAAAAAAAAAAAAGAAGATAGCATCTTCAAAAAATGGTGCTGGCATAACTGGATGCTGGCATGCAGATAGATCCATGTCTATCACCATGCACAAAACCTAAGTCCAAATGGATCAAAGACCTCAACATAAATCCAGCCACATTGAACCTCTTAGAAGAGAAAGTGGGAGGTACCCTTCATGCCTTTTCAGTGCGACCTCAGTGACTCTTACACATGACCAAGTTCAGCTGCCAACAGGGGTTACCAACTTGGCCCTTCTGGTACACAGTTTCTGTGTGCTGATCCCAAGGAAATACTTCCCAGAAGATTTCATGTCATTGATGCTGCTCACCACGACGATGAGGAGGAAAGGGTTTATTTTATTTCAGACAACAGTCCATCTTCCAGGGAAATCAGAGCAGGTACTCAAGGCAAAAACCTGGAGGTGGGAACTGATGCAGAGGATTTGGAGAAGTGCTCCTTACTGGCTCAATCAGCTTAACTTTTTTATAGCACCCGGGCCACCACTTGCTCATGTGTTGCATGACACACAATGGGCTGGGTGCACCCACGTCAATCACTAATTTACAAAAAGACACTACCACCTTGCCTACAGGCAAATCTTATAGAGTCTATCTTATCAAATAACTCTAACTTGTGTCTAGTTGACAATAAACTAGTTAGGATAGTGTCAGTTGACAACAAACCAGTCAGGATAGTGTGGTTTGGTTTGTGCTTCTGATCTCCTGGATCTAGAGTTACAGGTGCTTGTGAGGTACGTGATACGGGTGTTGGAAACTGCACTCAGGTCCTCTGCAAGAGCACTGTATGTTCTTAACCTCTGAGCTACCTCTCCAGCCCCTCTTCCATGGTTTCTGTTTCAACTTGTTGCTTGAGTTCTTGTCCTGACTTTCCTCAGTAATAGGCTGCAGGCCTGGAAATGTAAACCAAATGAGACATTTCTTTCACAAATCGCCTTCGGCCAGAGTGTTTTATCACAGCAACAGCAGAGAAACGACTCAGGGTCTTGTAATATTAAGAATAAATAATCTGAAGTAGTACAAGAGAAATCAGCCCCCAGTGGAATGGTTTATATCAACGATTGGCAATGCTTTTTAAAAAATCACCAGCTGCAGTTCCCATGAAAATTAGGGACTAGAAGACAATAGAGGAAGGGAAGGCATTCTTATAGACTTGGGAATGAGAGTGGCAGTGTTCAATGACAAGTTCATTCACTGGTCTTGAGAGAAAAAAATCACAAGGGAATTAAGAGAGACTTCATTTCAGCAGAAACCTCAGAATTGTATGATAGCCTCTGAGCATCAGTCATAGAGGACACAGTCTTCCAGCTAAGAACGATGTTCCTGATGGTTCCTCAATGGGCCCATGTCTCTGCATACTAGGGAGAGATTTCCTTCTGAGACCTTGACCTGTGAAAGCTGAGAGACACAGTGTACTTCTCGCTCCATCTCCAAGATAGGGTCCTCAGCGGGGTTGTGAACCTTAAAGTCCTGCTGTTGATACTGTGGAGAAGAAGAAAGTCAAAGTTGGGCTTGGGGGCACCCTGTAAAGGCAGAGAATGTTATGGAAATGAATTCATGTCAATAGGACATTTATTTATTCTGGTGAAATGTTTCTGAAGTGTCAGTTGCTTACTTGTATTACACTGATTTATTTGTTCTTTCCACTTATTTATATTTGTTGCTTCCCTTATCCACCAGTCACACATGCCACTTTCTACGTTCATGATGATTTTACCCATTTTACAGTCAGGAAAACCAAGCCTTAAGGAGGCTGGGTCTTTTACAAGGTCACCAATCTACTGAACATGGGCTCACCCCAGATCTCCCTCAGATGTTTCATGTGCTGAAGATGGATCCACAGAGAAAGACGAGATGGGCCATGTGACTCAGGTGTTGGAAGGATGAAGACATATGCCATATCTTCACGACGGCTGCTATTGTGGTTATGTATGTTAACTGGACAGAGTTCAAAGGACAGCTGTTTCCCTAGCTTCTCTTTCTGGGCCTCCATGTGGTGGGAACACTATAGGAGTCCTGCTACCATAGGTATGAGATGTCTGTCTCAGACAAGTGTGTGGCTTGTCCTGGAGACATGTCACTGGACACTGACAGAAATGGCTGATGAAGCCGGGCGGTGGTGGTGCACGCCTTTAATCACAGCACTCGGGAGGCAGAGGAAGGAGGATGTCAGCCAGGTCTACAGAGCGAGTTCCAGGACAGCCTCCAAAACAATACAGAGAAACCCTGTCTCAAAAGAAGAAGAAGAAGAAGAAGAAGAAGAAGAAGAAGAAGAAGAAGAAGAAGAAGAAGAAGAAGAAGAAGAAGAAGAAGAAGAAGAAATGGCTGATGGTTTCAGAGCACAGTCACTTCCTGCTGCTGGCCCATTCTCCAGCTCTGAATATCTACAATTTTTTCTTGAAAACTTTCTTAGCTAACATAGTGCCCACCTCCTCACCTCCCTTTCTCTCTCCAGTTCCTGCTGGTAAGAGGTATTTATTCCTACTCAGCTCCTAGACCTTTGAGTACCAGGATCGGCTTGATTCACTTAGTTAAATATCAATGCCGTTCTCACCCCTGGCCTCCTGCACCGATCAGTATCCGAGGCTGACACTCAGTCCCTTCCTTGACACCTCATCATCACCTGTGACCACCAGACACATCTCTGCACTCTCCTCTTAGGTGGTTCTGCTCAGTGGCTTCTCCTCTCAGCCTTCTTGCTTCTCCGACCTCACCCCTCTGACTCTGAGTGATTGGAGGGTTTAGTGCATTTTCTGTGGGCTTTCCTAGTATTTGTGATTTCAATCACATTAGACCTTCATGTGGAGAATTCCCAGACTCCATCCCCTGACTCCAGGCTCTGGTTTCTACTGCTTATCTTCACCTCGATATCTCAGAGTCTCCTCCTCCTTGTAGGAACCAGAGTGATAGTATTTTTCATGATTCCTGTCATCTGCAGGGCTGGCTGTGTGAACTGTTAGCAGCTCAGTTCTTTAAATTACTCATGACAACTTCAGAATTGTGATGTGTGACCTCTATGGACATTGGTGACACCTAGAGCTGTCTATGATTCATCCATGACACATGAGATGGAGACAGAAAACTGTTTGACAAATGACATAGGCATTCATTTACCTGCTGAGTCTTCCTTTGAGGTGTCTGCAGAGTCTCACTGACACCCAGATCCATCACTTGGACCTGGACTGTGTCACCACCTCTATTTTCTGTTGTATTTTCTTCTTAGAAACAGAATCTCATTATGTATCTCAGTCTGGCCTGGAACTTTTTGTCCCCTGACCTCACTCTCCACAGACTGGCACTACTCGATATATTCAGAACCATCACAGACATTCTTCATGACACATGGCAGAGAAAGAACTGGTAGGAGATGGGATGCACAGGGGCTGGGTCCTGATTGGGTAGAGGGACACACAGGGGCTGGGTCCTGATTGGGTAGAGGGATGCACAGGGGCTGGGTCCTGATTGGGTAGAGGGATGCACAGGGGCTGGGTTTTGATTGGGTAGAGGGACACACAGGGGCTGGGTCTTGATTGGGTAGAGGGACACACAGGGGCTGGGTCCTGATTGGGTAGAGGGACACACAGGGGCTGGGTCCTGATTGGGTAGAGGGACACAAGTGCCACCACAGAGATGGAGACACATGGATAGAAGCATGCTCAGGGATTGTTGACTGGGTTTGTGATGTTCCGGTGTGGGCTCTTTACCCTGGAGTACTTCTCTCCTTGGGAAGAGAGTTTCTGGGGACAATGAAAGACCTGGCTGTATGTGCCATGCATACCATACTCCTACATCCAACCCAACCACATCCCTTAGGGAGCTCTGACTCAATGGGCCTCTGTCCTTCTCCCCCACAAGCCCAGGTTCAGTTACCAGGTGAACAGAAATAACCCTGATATTCAGAGTGACCAATCTAACCTGCCAAGCCTGTTCACCTGTTTCACTAATTCTTTCCCGTGAACTCCACAGACAGGGCTCCTGTCTGTGTTGTCTCCTCACCGTCACTGATGATGAACAGACCTGATATTGCCTCGTGTAGCTTTACATGGCCCAGCAAGCCCATCCTTCCTAGAAAGTGATTTCTATACTCTTTTTCAATGGCAAAGGTCTAATGATTGGCAGGCCTCAGTATGCTTAGACTACACATACATTTTCCAGCAAGGGGGGAAGTGACAAGCTCAGATCTGTACATGCTTCATGGGATGCC